GTGTGTCTGTAGGTGTGTGTGTGTGTGTGTGTGTGTGTCTGTAGGTGTGTGTGTCTGTAGGTGGTGTGTGTGTGTGTCTGTAGGTGTGTGTGTGTGTGTGTCTGTAGGTGTGTGTGTGTGTGTGTGTGTAGCAGCACTTACAGCTCCACGTCTTCAAAGGCGTCCTCCAGATGGGCCATGTGTCCCCTGGGGGAAGAGAGAGTGAATGGACAGATCAGAGAGAGGAGAAGAGAACAGAGATCAGAGGGAGGAGAAGAGAACAGAGATCAGAGAGGGGAGGCACAGGATGGTCAGGGCTGGGGGATGTAATGTTACCACCAGGGTTGGGGTCAATTCCATTTCAATTCAGATAGTAAACCAAATTCCAATTCCAAATTTTCCTAATCGAAAAGCATCGAAGAGAATTGGAATTTCAGTGTACTTCCTAAACTGACTGGAATTGAGCCCAACCCTGGTTACCATCATGATGCTTATGAAGGAAATTACCCTTTCCTCAGAGAGAATAGGAGTCTGGACCCAGTATGACTCAGAGAGAATAGGAGTCTGGACCCAGTATGACTCAGAGAGAATAGGAGTCTGGACCCTGTACGATTCAGCGAGAATAGGAGTCTGGACCCTGTACGACTCAGTGAGAATAGGAGTCTGGACCCTGTATGACTCAGAGAGAATAGGAGTCTGGACCCAGTATGACTGAGCGAGAATAGGAGTCTGGACCCTGTACGATTCAGCGAGAATAGGAGTCTGGACCCTGTACGACTCAGTGAGAATAGGAGTCTGGACCCTGTATGACTCAGAGAGAATAGGAGTCTGGACCCAGTATGACTCAGAGAGAATAGGAGTCTGGACCCAGTATGACTGAGCGAGAATAGGAGTCTGGACCCTGTACGACTCAGTGAGAATAGGAGTCTGGACCCTGTACGACTCAGTGAGAATAGGAGTCTGGACCCTGTACGACTCAGTGAGAATAGGAGTCTGGACCCTGTACGACTCAGAGAGAATAGGAGTCTGGACCCAGTATGACTCAGAGAGAATAGGAGTCTGGGGCCTCATTTATAAATGTTGCGTACGTACAAAATATACCAAAACATGAGCGCGCCAGTTTTCACACAAAAGTTGGCATTTATAAAAACTGAACTTGACGTGAGAATGTGCTTAGCTTCCCACAAACTTTAGACCATGTGTAAGCACAGCTTGTAGTGGTTGAAGTATTGCATTGCCAGCAGGAAGTAGACTAGTATTCAGTAGTGGTTGAAGTATTGCATTGCCAGCAGGAAGTAGACTAGTATTCAGTAGTGGTTGAAGTATTGCATTGCCAGCAGGAAGTAGACTAGTATTCAGTAGTGGTTGAAGTATTGCATTACAGCAGGAAGTAGACTAGTATTTTGTGCAATGGGGTATATGACGAGCTTATTCATAAAAACAAACAGGTAAATATAATAACAAGATGCAATCTTTGATTTTATTTAACCTTTATTTTGACAGGGAGTGATGCTGAGACCAATGACAGGGAGTGATGCTGAGACCAATGACAGGGAGTGATACTGAGACCAATGACAGGGAGTGATGCTGAGACCAATGACAGGGAGTGATGCTGAGACCAATGACAGGGAGTGATGCTGAGACCAATGACAGGGAATGATGCTGAGACCAATGACAGGGAGTGATGCTGAGACCAATGACAGGGAGTGATGCTGAGACCAATGACAGGGAGTGATGCTGAGACCAATGACAGGGAGTGATGCTGAGACCAACGACAGGGAGTGATGCTGAGACCAATGACAGGGAGTGATGCTGAGACCAAGGTCTCTTTTCCATTTGCCGTTAGTGAGAATATCATTTTTTTTTTTTTTTTTTTTTTGCATCTTTTGCATTCTAGAATAGTTTGATATATCTATTTCCTTGATCATTGCAGAATAAATTCTTCATCTTTTCTGACGGGACTGCGATGCTTCATACTGGTGTAGCCTATTGGTATCCCATCTCATTTAATTGGATCCACTTTACAGTAGTAAATAGATCAACTATTTACAAGTATTTTTGCTTTATGCGATCCGGAGCACAGTTTAACAGTAGAACAGACAGTTTAACTTTTTCTATTTACATTTTTTAAGCTACTGTACATCTGAATAGCCTACTGTAATTTCTAATGTCTCAAGTAAACAATATTTACATTTATAAACATAATACATATTTTCATAGCCATTGCAGAATAAATTCCTCACCTTTTCTGGCCATGATGGCTTCATATTTCCAAAGAAGCTTTAGCCTACTACAAATTGCCCCCCAATGCGCATCTCTCATTTAAATTGGACCTATTAGATAGGCTACTATTTCAAGTATTTTGCGCATCTGAAACGTGAGCGCTGTTTATAACACAGTAGAATTTAACAGATGAACAGGCAGTTGGAAGTGTATAGGCTACCACTGGACACTACCGTTCTAAAGTTTGGGGTCACTTAGAAATGTCCTTGTTTTCGAAAGAAAAGCAAAAAAAATTGTCCATTAAAATAACATCAAATTGATCAGAAATACAGTGTAGACATTGTTAATGTTGTAAATGGCTATTGTAGCAGGAAACGGCTGATTTGTAATGGTATATCTACATAGGCGTACAGAGGCCCATTATCAGCAATCATCAGTCCTGTGTTCCAATGGCACGTTGTGTTTTCTAATCAAAGTTTAGCATTTTAAAAAGGCTAATTGATCATTAGAAAACCCTTTTGCAATGATGTTAGCACAGCTGAAAACTGTTGTGCTGATTAAAGAAGCAATAAAACTGGCCTTCTTGAGACTAGTTGAGTATCTGGAGCATCAGCAATTGTGGGTTTGATTACAGAATCAAAATGGCCAGAAACAAAGAACTTTCTTCTGAAACTCGTCAGTCTATTCTTATGAGAAATTAAAGCTATTCCATGCGAGAAATTGCCAAGAAACTGATGATCTCGTACAACGCTGTGTACTAATCCCTTCACAGAACAGCGCAAACTGTCTCTAACCAGAATAGAAAGAGGAGTGGGAGGCCCCGGTGCACAACTGAGCAAGAGGACAAATACATGTGTAGTTTGAGAAACAGACGCCTCACAGGTCCTCAACTGGCAGCTTCATTAAATAGTACCCGCAAAACACCAGTCTCAACGTCAACAGTGAAGAGGCGACTCCGGGATGCTGACCTTCTAGGCAGAGTTGCAAAGAAAAAGCCATATCTCAGACTGGCCAATAAAAATAAAAGATTAAGATGGGCAAAAGAACACAGACACTGGACAGAGGAAGATTGGAAAAAAGACAAATCGAAGTTTGAGGTGTTCGGATCACAAAGAAGAACATTTGAGGGACGCAGACCAAATGAAAAGATGCTGGAGGAGTGCTTGATGCCATCTGTCAAGCATGGTGGAGGCAATGTGATGGTCCGGGGATGCTTTGGTGGTGGGAAAGTGGGAGATTTGTACAGGGTAAAAAGGATCTTGAAGAAGGAAGGCTATCACTCCATTTTGCAACGCCATGCCATACCTGTGGACAGCGCTTGATTGGAGCCAATTTCCTCCTACAACAGGACAATGACCCAAAGCACAGCTCCAAACTATGCAAGAACTATTTAGGGAAGAAGCAGTCAGCTGGTATTCTGTCTATAATGGAGTGGCCAGCACAGTCACCGGATCTCAACCCTATTGAGCTGTTGTGGGAGCAGCTTGACCGTATGGTACGTAAAAAGTGCCCATCAAGCCAATCCAACTTGTGGGAGGTGCTTCAGGAAGCATGGGGTGAAATCTCTTCAGATTACCTCAACAAATTGACAACTAGAATGCCAAAGGTCTGCAAGGCTGTAATTACTGCAAATGGAGGATTATTTGGCGAAAGCAAAGTTTGAAGGACACAATCATTATTTCTAACCTTGTCAATGACTACATTTCCTATGCATTTTGCTATATTTCCTATTCAAACTAATTTCATGTATGTTTTCATGGAAAACAAGGACATTTCTAAGTGACCCCAAACTTTTGAACAGTAGTGTAGTTTTACATTCTGTTGGTTCTGTAGTTTTACATTCTGTTGGTTCTGTAGTTTTACATTCTGTTGGTTCTAAGTGTGTAGGCTACCACTGTATGTAGTTTTACATTCTGTTGGTTCTGTAGTTTTACATTCTGCTGGTTCTGTGGTTGTACATTCTGTTGGTTCTGTAGTTTTACATTCTGTTGGTTCTGTAGTTTTACATTCTGTTGGTTCTGTAGTTTTACATTCTGTTGGTTCTAAGTGTGTAGGCTACCACTGTATGTAGTTTTACATTCTGTTGGTTCTGTAGTTTTACATTCTGTTGGTTCTAAGTGTGTAGGCTACCACTGTATGTAGTTTTACATTCTGTTGAGTAGACATAGTTTCAGAATTCGCGGGCGGTGCATCATATTTAGGTTTGGAAAAAAGTTAAAACATGATTGAATTCAAACGATCGGTTTACAGGTCCACAACAGGCTGGTTGGTTCTACAGCTATGTTACAGCACGCATGGCAGGGTATGAGGAGTGGTATGCACATGACAGGGTATGAGGAGTGGTATGCACATGGCAGGGTATGAGGATTGGTATGCACATGGCAGGGTATGAGGATTGGTATGCACATGGCAGGGTATGAGGATTGGTATGCACATGGCAGGGTATGAGGAGTGGTATGCACATGGCAGGGTATGAGGAGTGGTATGCACATGGCAGGGTATGAGGATTGGTATGCACATGGCAGGGTATGAGGATTGGTATGCACATGGCAGGGTATGAGGAGTGGTATGCACATGGCAGGGTATGAGGAGTGGTATGCACATGGCAGGGTATGAGGATTGGTATGCACATGGCAGGGTATGAGGATTGGTATGCACATGGCAGGGTATGAGGAGTGGTATGCACATGGCAGGGTATGAGGAGTGGTATGCACATGGCAGGGTATGAGGATTGGTATGCACATGGCAGGGTATGAGGATTGGTATGCACATGGCAGGGTATGAGGAGTGGTATGCACATGGCAGGGTATGAGGAGTGGTATGCACATGGCAGGGTATGAGGAGTGGTATGTACATGGCAGGGTATGAGGATTGGTATGCACATGGCAGGGTATGAGGAGTGGTATGTACATGGCAGGGTATGAGGAGTGGTATGCACATGGCAGGGTAGCACACATTACTACACTGCACACAGCCAGGCCACAGCACTGCGGCTGCCTCCACCCAGCGGCCAGGCAGCCTCACGACAGACAGTGGAGTGGAGTGGAGTGGGTCTGGGTCATGGCATCATACCACAGGACATGCAGGCCGCATCCCAAATGGCACCCTATTCCCTATTTAGTGCACTTCTTTTGACCAGGGCCCATACTGGCTCCGGTCAAAAGTAGTGCACTAAATAGGGAATAGGGTGGCATTAGGGACACATCCACAGGGTGTTGTTAGTGTTACCGTTGGAACAACTCATCCTCAACGCTTTTGAGAAGGCTCCTTTGGAAGGAAGGAGAAGAAGAGAGCAACAGAAAGTTGGCAGGAGAATAAGAGAGCAACAGGGAGAAGAAGAGAGCAACAGGAAGAAGGAGAGCAACAGGAAGGAGAAGAGCGCAACAGGAAGGAGGAAGGAAAAGAAGAGAGCAACAGAAGGGAGGAAAGAGAAGAAGAGAGCAACAGGAGGGAGGAAGGAGAAGAAGAGAGCAACAGAGAGGAGGAAGGAGAAGGAGAAGAAGAGAACAACAGGAAGGAGGAAGGAGACGAAGAGAGCAACAGAGAGGAGGAAGGAGAAGAAGAGAACAACAGAAAGGAGGAAGGAGAAGAAGAGAGCAACAGAAAGGAGGAAGGAGAAGAAGAGAGCAACAGGAAGGAGGAAGGAGAAGAAGAGAGCAACAGAAAGGAGGAAGGAGAAGAGAGCAACAGAAAGGAGGAAGGAGAAGAAGAGAGCAACAGAAAGGAGGAAGGAGAAGAAGAGAGCAACAGGAAGGAGGATAGAGAAGAAGAGAGCAACAGAGAAGAAGAGAGCAACAGAGAGGAGGAAGGAGAAGAAGAGAGCAACAGAAAGGAGGAAGGAGAAGAAGAGAGCAACAGAAAGGAGGAAGGAGAAGAAGAGAGCAACAGGAAGGATGATAGAGAAGAAGAGAGCAACAGAGAGGAGGAAGGAGAAGAAGAGAGCAACAGAAAGGAGGATAGAGAAGAAGAGAGCAACAGAGGAGGAAGGAGAAGAAGAGAGCAACAGAGAGGAGGAAGGAGAAGAAGAGAGCAACAGAAAGGAGGAAGGAGAAGAGAGCAACAGGAAGGAGGAAGGAGAAGAAAAGAGCAACAGAGAGGAGGAAGGAGAAGAGAGCAACAGGAAGGAGGAAAGAGAAGAAGAGAGCAACAGGAAGGAGGAAAGAGAAGAAGAGAGCAACAGAGAGGAGGAAGGAGAAGGAGAAAAGAAAAACACAGTCAAAGCACACGGACGGACGGACGAGACCTGGCTGTTTCACAACATTCCAGACTACAGGGAGATAGGTGGGCGTGTAGGGTCAAAGGTCATGCTTTGATAACAGAGCAGGGCAGCTAGCTCCACACAAACTGTGGTGAATGGAAACAAGTTAGTCCAGGGGTGTCAAACTCGTTCCATAAAGGTATCTAGTGTACATTTAGTTTTCTGTTATTTCTTTTCAATTTGGATCCAATTAAGAGCTAGACAACAAGCTGAGGGGAGTTCCTTACTAATCAGTGACCAGGGCCTGTATTCATAAGGAGGGGAGGGGAGTTCCTTACTAATCAGTGACCAGGGCCTGTATTCATAAAGCCTCTCAGAGTAGGAGTGCTGATCTGGGATCAGGTCCCACCTGTCCATATAATCTCATTCATTATAAACTAATAGGCTAAACTGGCCCTAGATCAGCACTCCTACTGTAAGAAGCTTTATGGATACAGGCCCTGATAGTACAAGGGAGAGGTGAAAACCTGCAGCCCCTTCGCCCTCCATGGAATGAGCCCTGTAGTGTGGTGCTAGTCTCACAGCCAGGTGAAGTGGGGAGATTTCACAAAATGATTCACACAACAAAACTCTGTAAAGTTTAAAACCTATTCGAGACACCTATAAAAAGACAATAAAAGCTTACAGGATAAAAAAAGAAAGAAAAAAAAATAGAACGCTTGAGCAGAGTAGATTATTTACAGAGGTATTGTATACTAATGACAAAGCTCATACGCTATTTTTTTAAACATTTTTAGTCATTTAGCAGACGCTCTTATCCAGAGCGACTTACAGTTAGTGAATATATATATATATATATATATATATTATTATTATTTTTATTTTTTTAATACTGGCCCCCGTGGGAATCAAACCCACAACCCTGGCGTTGCAAACGCCATGCTCTATCAACTGAGCTACATCCCTGCCGGCCATTCCCTCCCCTCCCCTACCCTGGACGACGCTGGGCCAATTGTGCGCCGCCCCATGGGTCTCCCGGTTGCGGCCGGCTGCGACAGAGCCTGGAATCGAACCAGGATCTCTAGTGGCACAGTTAGCACTGCGATGCAGTGCCTTAGACCACTGCGCCACTCAGGAGTGGCTATCCTGTGTCCCATGGTCTAACCAAGAGAGGAACCATCCCACTCTCCTACAAAAGTGTGGTTGGGTGCGTAAAACCAGGCAAAAATGTAATGGGTCCGCATATTTTTTATTTTTTTTTAAAGATGTCAAATAAAGCGTACTTATTTTTTGGTTTATCTAGTTTTCATTTTACATATTTTTAAGTGCGGAGGGAGCCATTCCATCTTTGCTTAGCCACGGTGGTATTCAGTAGTCCCAGGCAGACTCCCATTGGACCAGAAAAGACAAGACAGGAGACAGCCCAGCCAGCTAAAACAGAAGCCTGGAGCTATAATGGAGACGTTCCCATGACGACGGTTACCACGGTTCTTACCTGGTAGTGATGCCTCCCTCTGTGAATGGGCTCCAGGGGGAGGGGAAGTCACTCTCTTTAGTCACATCCTGGAGAGACCACAGCAATAACAAACAAGACATGTAAGTTAGTTCGACAACACCAGCGCTTAGAAAATGGCACTACCTTTGACAAGGGCTCTGGTAAAAACATATAAAAAAATAGTACACTGCATAGGGAATAGGGTGCCATTTGCGACGCAGACAAGGTCTTTGAAATGTAGGCTGGGTCTGAAATGGCACCCTACGCCCTAGTCAAAAGTACTTCCACTATAGAGGGAATACGGTGCCATTTTGGACGCAGTCACATTTACAATCACTTCCTGACCAACGGATAAACAGTACGGGAAAGAGATGTAAATCACAAATAACCAATGAAATTGGTTGATGTAATATTAAATATAGTCACCATTTCAGTGCGAGCCTCTGTTTCCTTCCTCAGTGGAGGTTCAAACTGCACTTTATCAACTGTGGAGTAGAAAAGTCTGGTTGAAGTGGCATTGAGACGTTACACAGTCAGGTCAGTAGGGGGAGCCAGAACACAACACTCCAACCATCACAACAAACCACATCCTCATGCATCGACATGGAGTAGCGTAAAGTTAGCCAACCCTTAGACACTGACTGATCTTAGGCCAGTTTTTTGCATTTCCCACTAATGGTTGAGGTTAGGTTGTGGTGAGGGGAAGCTGACCCTAGATCTGTACATAGGGGAAACTTCAAACCAGAGCCATCAACACAAGCCAGGCCAGGCGCTCGGGTGATTAGGATCTCACAATCAGGCACTACTTGAATCCCAAATGGCACCCTATATAGTACACTACTTTTGACCAAGGTTCTCTGGTGGAATAGTGCACCACTTGGGACACATGCCCCTGTTCGAACGCTTCCTTCGTTCGTTCATTCCTTTCATGACAAAGCTCACAGCCTACCCAATCATGTCAGGTCAGTGATTCTTTCGAGGAAGGATGCAAGTATTTGAACAGGGCCTTAGTTTTACGATGACAGCGTGATGACAGAAGGTTTAGTTAATGAAGCTTTAACACTCCTGTGTTTGATCCTTGGTACCGTCAGACAGAGCCAGGTGGTCCGGTGCCACCACTACTACTTGTCACATGCTCCTGAAACCGGCCTATATAGTGTCTGCGTTCCAAATGGTACCCTATATAGTGCACTACTTTGGACCAGACGCCATACGTCTCTGGTCAAACGTAGTGCACTATGTAGGGAAATAGTGTGCCGTTCGTTTGAGACACAACCAGTGTCCTCTTCATAATCATTTCATCCTTTGTTGCATTGCTGATACACAAGACAGGAGCGCATTGAGCCACTGTGTGGAGTGACCCAGTAACATACAGACTAGTATGAAGACAAGACACCTGACAGAGAGACACACACAGATGTCAACATCGTGGATTCCAGTACGCCAACTATGAGGAACTGCTTCAGTGTCTCTGAGCTTCTGATGCAAAACTTGAAATGAGCTAGGCCAACACACACACACACACACACCCCTTTCCTACGCAAATTCAACAAGTATCAGATGTGAGACTACTTTTCCTACTTGTAACAGTGAAGTTGAGAAATCCAAAAAGCAAGTAGCAACCATATGCATAGATTTTTTTTCCACCACCAACCATTACAATTCAACCTGAAACTATTTGGAATACCAATCCAACAACACTGCATACCACTATCTCTCTGTGCTCATCAGATGTACTTACGGGAGACACACAGAGCGCCTTTAGAAAGTACTCACACCCCTTGACTTATTCCACATTTTGTTGTATTACAGCCTCAATTCAAAATGGATTAAATTGAGATTGTGTGTCACTGGCCTGCACAAACAACACCTCATAATGTCAAAGTGGAATTTAGTTTGTAGAACATTTTAGAAGAAAAAAAACTAAACAAATTAAGCTGAAATGTCTTGAGTCAATAAGTATTCAACCCCTTTGCTATGACAAGCCTAAATAAGTTCAGGGGTAACAATGTGCTTAACAAATCGCATAATAAGTTGCATGGACTCATTAAGGTTCAATAATACTGGTTAACATGATTTTTGAATGACTACCCCACCTCCGTACCCCACATATTAAATTATCTTTAAGGTCCCTCAATCGAGTAGCGAATTTCAAACACAGATTCAACCACAAAGACCAGGGAGGTTTTTCAATGCCTCGCAAAGAAGGGCACCTATAGGTAGATGGGTAAAAAAATTAAAATAATAAAAAAACAGACATTGAATATCCCTTTGAGCATGGTGAAGTTATTAATTACACTTTGGATGGTGTATCAATACACCTAGTCACTACAAAGATACAGGCGTCCTTCCTAACTCAGTTGCCGGAGAGGAAGGAAACTGCCCAGGGATTTCAGCCTGAGGCCAATGGTGACTTTAAAACAGTTAGAGTTTAATGGCTGTGATAGGAGAAAACTGAGGATGGATCAACAACATTGTAGTTACTCCACATTACTAACCTAATTGACAGAGTGAAAAGAAAGAAGCCTGTACAGATAAAAAATATTCCAAAACATGCATCCTGTTTTCAACAACGCACTAAAGTACTACTGCAAATGGGGCAAAGAAATGAACTGAATACAAAGCGTTATATTTAGGGCAAATCCAACACATCACAGAGTACCACTCTTCATATTTTCAAGCATGATGGTGGCTGCATCATGTTGTGGGTATACTCGTCATCGGCAAAGACTAGGGCGTTTTTTTTTTTAGCTTGAAAGTGTATGGCAAGACTTAAAAATGTCTGTCTAGCAATGATCAACAATCATCTTGACAGAGCTTGAAGATTTTTTATTTATTTATTTTTTATTTATTTTTAGAATGGGCAAATATTTTACAATCTAGGTGTGCAAAGCTCTTACAGACTTACCCAAAAAGACTCACAGCTGTAATCGCCGCCAAAGGTGCTTCTACAGAGTAATGACTCAGGGGTATGAATACTTATGTAAATGAGATATTTCAGTATTTCATTTTTTATACATTTGCTAAAATTTCTAAAAACATATTTTCACTTTGTCATTATGGGGTACTGTGTGTAAATGGGTGACAAAACAATCTATTTAATCAATTTTTAAAATCAGGCTTTAACAAAATAATTGAATGGACACTACTAACTCGCACTCTCGTCTCACCCCTACTACTACTCCTACCTGAAACACATCCCCCCTACTACCACACTACTACACTACTACTACAGTTCTACTACTACTACACTAACCACTACTACTACTACTACTACAGTACTACTACTACTACTCCACTACCACTACTACTACTACCACTACAGTTACTACTACTACTACCACTACCACTACTACCACACTACTACCACTACTACTACTACCACCACTACTACTACTACAGTTCTACCACCACCACCACCACCTCTAACACACCCCCACTACTACTACTACTACTACTACTACTACTACCACCACCACCACCTCAAACACACCACTACTACTACTACTGCTACTACTACCACTACTACTGCTACTACTACTACTACCACCTCTAACACACCCCCACTACTACTACTACTACTACTACTACTACTACTACCACTACCACCACCTCAAACACACCACTACTACTACTACCACCACACTACTAGTACTAATTGTTATTTCTTTTGCTAATTTGTACCCCAGTATCTATTTGCACATCATCTCTTGCACATCTATCATTCCAGTGTTAATACTAATTGTAATTATTTTGCACTATAGCCTATTTATTGCCTTACCTCCATAACTATACTACATTGCACACACTGTATATAATTTTCTGTTGTATTTTGACTTTATGTTTTTGTTATTAAACCCCATATGTAACTCTGTGTTGTTGTTTTTATCACACTGCTTTGCTTTATCTTGGCCAGGTCGCAGTTGGAAATGAGAACTTGTTCTCAACTGGCTTACCTGGTTAAATAAAGGTGAAATAAGATAAAAAATACTACTACTACTACTGCTACTACTACTACTGCTACTACTACTACCATACCACCACCACTACTACCACTACTACCACCACTACTACTACTACTACTACCACTACTACTACTACTACCACTACCACTACTACTACCACCACCACCACCACTACTACTACTACCACTACTACTACTACTACCACCTCAAACACACCACTACTCCACAAACTACTGTCTCACACACCACTATCTCATTAGCCTGGTCCCAGATCTGTTTGTGCCGTCTTGCCAAAATGTGTGACAGTGATCATAGAAGTTGATAAGACAGCACAAACAGATCTGGGACCAGGCTACTACTCTGTCTCTGTGACTGACCTGGGTCCCCCTGGTCCTCAACCCTGTGTCTCTCCTCTGTAGTGTAGCCAAGGTAGCCAGGGTGGTTAGGGTAGCCAGGGTGGTTAGGGTGGTCAGGGTGGTTAGGGTAGCCAGGGTGGTTAGGGTGCCAGGTGCCAGGGTGGTTTAGGGGGTAGCCAGGGTGGTTAGGGTGCCAGGGTTAGCCAGGGTGGTTAGGGTGGTGGTTAGGGTAGCCAGGGTGGTTAGGGTAGCCAGGGTGTAGGGGGGTTAGGGTGGCCAGGGTGGTTAGGGTAGTTAGGGTGGTTAGGGTAGTTAGGGTGGTTAGGGTAGTCAGGGTGGTGGTTAGGGTGGCCAGGGTGGTTAGGGTAGCCAGGGTGGTTAGGGTGGCCAGGGTGGTTAGGGTAGCCAGGGTGGTTAGGGTTAGCAGGGTAGTTAGGGTGCCAGGTGGTTAGGGTGCCAGGGTGGTTAGGGTAGCCAGGGTGGTTAGGGTAGCCAGGGTGGTTAGGGTAGCCAGGGTGGTTAGGGTAGCCAGGGTGGTTAGGGTGAGGGTGGTTAGGGTAGCCAGGGTGGTTAGGGTTAGCCAGGGTGTAGCCAGGGTGGTTAGGGTAGCCAGGGTGGTTAGGGTAGTCCAGGGTGGTTAGGGTAGCCAGGGTGGTTAGGGTAGCCAGGGGTGGTAAGGGTGTGGTAGCGGGTGGTTAGGGTAGCCAGGGTGGTTAGGGTAGCCAGGGTGGTTAGGGTGGGTAGCCAGGGTGGTTAGGGTAGCCAGGGTGGTTAGGGTGCCAGGGTGGTTAGGGTAGCCAGGGTGGTTAGGGTAGCCAGGGTGGTTAGGGTAGCCAGGGTGGTTGGGTTGCAGGGTGGTAGGGTGCCAGGGGTGGTTAGGGTAGCCAGGGTGGTTAGGGTAGCCAGGGGTGGTTGCAGGTGTTAGGGTGCCAGGGTGGTTAGGGTAGCCAGGGTGGTTAGGGTAGCCAGGGTGGTTAGGGTAGCCAGGGTGGGTTAGGGTGAGCCAGGGTGGTTAGGTGCAGGGTGGTTAGGGTGCCAGGGGGGGTGGTTAGGGTAGCCAGGGTGGTTAGGGTAGCCAGGGGGGTGGTTAGGGTGGCCAGGGGTGGTAGGGTTTAGCCAGGGTGGTTAGGTAGCCAGGGGGTTAGGTGCCAGGGTGGTTAGGGTGCCAGGGGGGGGTTTAGGGTAGCCAGGGTGGTTCAGGGTTGGTGCCAGGGTGTTAGGGTGCCAGGGTGGTTAGGGTGCCAGGTAGCCAGGGTGGTTAGGGTAGCCAGGGTGGTTAGGGTGGCCAGGGTGGTTAGGGTAGCCAGGGGTGGTAGGTTTTAGGGTAGCCAGGGTGGTTAGGGTAGCCAGGGTGGTTAGGGTGCCAGGGTGGTTAGGGTGCCAGGGGTGGTTAGGGTGGCCAGGGTGGGTTAGGGTGCCAGGGTGGTGCGGGTAGGCCAGGGTGGTTAGGGTGGCCAGGGTGGTTAGGGTAGCCAGGGTGGTTAGGGTAGCCAGGGTGGTTAGGGTAGCCAGGGTGGTTAGGGTAGCCAGGGGGTTAGGTGCCAGGGTGGTTAGGGTAGCCAGGGTGGTTGGGTAGCCAGGTGTTAGGGTAGCCAGGGTGGTTAGGGTAGCCAGGGTGGTTAGGGTAGCCAGGGTGGTTAGGGTAGCCAGGGTGGTTAGGGTAGCCAGGGTGGTTAGGGTAGCCAGGGTGGTTAGGGTAGCCAGGGTGGTTAGGGTAGCCAGGGTGGTTAGGGTAGCCAGGGTGGTTAGGGTAGCCAGGGTGGTTAGGGTAGCCAGGGTGGTTAGGGTAGCCAGGGTGGTTAGGGTAGCCAGGGTGGTTAGGGTAGCCAGGGTGGTTAGGGTAGCCAGGGTGTGTTAGGGTAGCCAGGGTGGTTGGGTCCAGTAGGTAGCCAGGGTGGTTAGGGTAGCCAGGGTGTTAGGGTGCCAGGGTGGTTAGGGTAGCCAGGGTGGTTAGGGTGCCAGGGTGGTTAGGGTAGCCAGGTGGTTAGGGTAGCCAGGGTGGTTAGTAGGTAGCCAGGTGTTAGGGTACCAGGGTGGTTAGGGTAGCCAGGGTGGTTAGGGTAGCCAGGGTGGTTAGGGTAGCCAGGGTGGTTAGGGTAGCCAGGTGGTTAGGTAGCCAGGAGTGGTTAGGAGCCAGGTGGAGCACGGTACACAGGCTGGTTAGGGTGCCAGGTGGTTAGGTAGCCAGGGTTAAGGGTAGCCAGGGTGTTAGGTAGCCAGGGGGTTAGACAGTACCAGTGGTAGTAGAGAGAGCCAGGGTGGTTGGTAGCCAGTAAGTACAGGGTGTAGTAGCCAGTGGTTAGGAGTAGCCAGGGTGTTAGGGTAGCCAGGTGGTAGGGTAACGCACACAGCTTTAGGGATCCAGCTGTATGGTACTGCCAGGTGGTAGAGATACCAGGGCATGTAACAGGAGCAACGTCACAAAGGAATCAGGACAAGTACCAGGCAGTCAACGTCAGACAAGTGCCAGGGCAGTACACAGATGAAAGCAACAAGCGCAGTTAGAATGCGTCCACGCAGGACAAGGTCAACCAGGCTAGACAAGTCAACACAGCAGACATGTCACAGCGAACGTCACACACAGCAGGACAACGTCAACAACAGCAGACAACGTCAACAACAGCAGCAGAACAACGTCAACAACAGCAGACAACGTCAACAACAGCAGCAGACAACGTCAACAACAGCAGACAACGTCAACAACAGCAGACAATGTCAACAACAGCAGACAACGTCAACAACAGCAGACAACGTCAACAACAGGTCAAACGCCATGCTCTACCAACTGAGCTACATCCCTGCCGGCCATTCCCTCCCCTACCCTGAACGACACTGGGCCAATTGTGCGCCGCGCCATGGGGTCTCCCGGTCACGGCCGGCTACGACAGAGCCTGGATACCTAGTCAGTTGAATGCATTCGACTGAAATGTGTCTTCCGCATTTAGCCCAACCCCTCTGAATCAGAAAGGTGCAGGGGGCTGACTTAAATCGACATCCACGTCATCGGCACCCAGGGAACAGTGGGTTAATTGCCTTGCTCAGGGGCAGAACTACAGATTTTTACCTTGTCAGCTAAATAAATAGTCTGAAGCATTGGCCATCTGCATGAACCCCATTGGACACAACATCTTGATTTAAATTGTTATTAATAACAATTTGAAAGTATTAATAATAGATTATTATTCACTCAAATTTAATTTAGGGTGTTTCTATTACAAAGTACACTACCGTTCAAAAGTTTGGGGTCACTGATCAGAAATACAGTGTAGACATTGTTAATGTTGTAAATGGCTATTGTAGCTGGAAACGGCTGATTTTTTATGGAATATCTACAGAGGCCCATTATCAGTCCTGTGTTCCAATGGCACGTTGTGTTTGCTAATCCAAGTTTATCATTTTAAAAGGCTAATTGATCAATAGAAAACCCTTTTGCAATGATGTTAGCACAGCTGAAAACTGTTGTGCTGATTAAAGAAGCAATAAAACTGGACTTCTAGTTGAGTATCTGGAGCATCAGCAATTGGGGGTTCGATTACAGAATCAAAGTGGCCAGAAACAAATAATTTTCTTCTGAAACTCGTCAGTCTTTTCTTGTTCTGAGAAATGAAGGCTATTCCATGGGAGAAATTGCCAAGAAACTGAAGATCTCGTACAATGCTGTGATCTCGTACAACGCTGGGCGGCAGGTAGCTTAGTGGTTAAGAGCGTTGTGCCAGTAACCGAAAGGTCGCTGGTTCTAATCCCCGAGCCGACTAGGTGAAAAATCTGTCGATGTGCCCTTGAGCAAGGCACTTAACCCTAATTGCTCCTGTAAGTCGCTCTGGATAAGAGCGTCTGCTAAATGACTTATTTATTTATTTATTTATTTTACTACTCCCTTCACAGAACAGCGCAAACTGGCTCTGACCAGAATAGAAAGAGGAGTGGGAGGCCCCGGTGCACAACTGAGCAAGAGGACAAATACATTAGAGTGTCTAGTTTGAGAAACAGACGCCTCACAGGTCCTCAACTGGCAGCTTCATTAAATAGTACCCGCAAAACACCAGTCTCAACGTCAACAGTGAAGAGGCGACTCTGGGATGCTGACCTTCTAGGCAGAGTTGCAAAGAAAAAGCCATATCTCAGACTGGCCAATAAATATAAAAGATTAAGATGGGCAAAAGAACACAGACACTGGACAGAGTAAGATTGGAAAAAAAGTGTTATGGACAGACAAATCTAAGTTTGAGGTGTTCGGATCACAAAGAAGAACATTTGTGAGACGCAGACCAAATGAAAAGATGCTGGAGGAGTGCTTGATGCCATCTGTCAAGCATGGTGGAGGCAATGTGATGGTCTGGGGGTGCTTTGGTGGTGGTAAAGTGGGAGATTTGTACAGGGTAAAAGGGATCTTGAAGAAGGAAGGCTATCACTCCATTTTGCAACGCCATGCCATACCTGTGGATGGCGCTTGATTGGAGCCAATTTCCTCCTACAACAGGACAATGACCCAAAGCACAGCTCCAAACTATGCAATAACTATTTAGGGAAGAAGCAGTCAGCTGGTATTCTGTCTATAATGGAGTGGCCAGCACAGTCACCGGATCTCAACCCTATTGAGCTGTTGTGGGAGCAGCTTGACCGTATGGTACGTAAAAAGTGCCCATCAAGCCAATCCAACTTGTGGGAGGTGCTTCAGGAAGCATGGGGTGAAATCTCTTCAGATAACCTCAACAAATTGACAACTAGAATGCCAAAGGTCTGCAAGGCTGTAATTACTGCAAATGGAGGATTCTTTGGCGAAAGCAAAGTTTGAAGGACACAATCATTATTTCTAACCTTGTCAATGACTACATTTCCTATGCATTTTGCTATATTTCCTATTCAAACTCATTTCATGTATGTTTTCATGGAAAACAAGGAAATTTCTAAGTGACCCCAAACTTTTGAACGATAGTGTATGTCATTGTCCCTTTAAGACGCCATTGCCCCTTTAAGAGCTCAATTGCACCTAAACCAAGCTTGAAACTGGTTGTATAGATGCATTTGTAATACAATTTTAGGAGTAGAGAAATACTGTAAACGTGGTAGCAGTGGAAATTTTGGATCCCACTCTTTTTTAACAAAGGACAAAACTGCTTTCAAAAGTGTTTTTACCACGATTGCATTAAGTATTGTTGTGCATTGACTGCTTGTCAGAATACGTTTCCCTCCCTATGGCTCTCGCAACTTGAATGCGCCTCAATAGGAATATTTATCTCACATAGAACAAACAACAACAAGCCGACTAGGTAAATAGGTCAACTATTCTACTATGGGGTTGTCTGGTTTAGTTTTAATAACACCATTACATGACTAGGTAAATAGGTCAACTATTCTACTATGGGGGTGTCTGGTTTAGTTTTAATAACACCATTACATGACTAGGTAAATAGGTCAACTATTCTACTATGGGGGTGTCTGGTTTAGTTGAATAACACCATTACATGACATAGGTAAATAGGTCAACTATTCTACTATGGGGGTGTCTGGTTTAGTTTAATAACACCATTACATGATTAGGTAAATAGGTCAACTATTCTACTATGGGGTTGTCTGGTTTAGTTTTAATAACACCATTACATGACTAGGTAAATAGGTCAACTATTCTACTATGGGGTTGTCTGGTTTAGTTGAATAACACCATTACATTACTAGGTAAATAGGTCAACTATTCTACTATGGGGGTGTCTGGTTTAGTTGAATAACACCATTACATGACATAGGTAAATAGGTCAACTATTCTACTATGGGGTTGTCTGGTTTAGTATAATAACACCATTACATGACTAGGTAAATAGGTCAACTATTCTACTATGGGGTTGTCTGGTTTAGTTTAATAACACCATTACATGACATAGGTAAATAGGTCAACTATTCTACTATGGGGTTGTCGTGTTTAGTTGAATAACACCATTACATGACATAGGTAAATAGGTCAACTATTCTACTATGGGGTTGTCTGGTTTAGTTGAATAACACCATTACATGACATAGGTAAATAGGTCAACTATTCTACTATGGGGTTGTCTGGTTTAGTTTTAATAACAACGTTACATTGTAAAAATAGTAGCATCCATCCCTGAGTGAGTAGAGGCTTTGAATGACCTTGACAGCAGCTATAGTACATTTACATTTTTACATTTTAGTCATTTAGCAGACGCTCTTATCCAGAGCGACTTACAGCTAGTGAGTGCATACATTATTTTGTATTTATTTTTCATACTGGCCCCCAGTGGGAATCGAACCCACAACCCTGGCGTTGCAAACGCCATGCTCTACCAACTGAGCTACATCCCTGCCGGCCATTCCCCTCCCCTACCCTGGACGACGCTGGGCCAATTGTGCGCCGCCCCATGGGTCTCCCGGTCACGGCCGGCTACGACAGAGCCTGGATTCGAACCAGGATCTCTAGTGGCACAGCTAGCACTGCGATGCAGTGCCTTAGACCACTGCCCCACTCGGGAGGTTGGCTACACACTGCTGTCTGAGTTGAGCGATGCGGTGGTGCGCATTATAGACTGTTTAAGGGGGCTTTCACTGTTTAAGGGGGCTTTCACTGTTTAAGGGGGCTTTCACTGTTTAAGGGGGCTTTCACTGTTTAAGGGGGCTTTCACTGTTTAAGGGGGCTTTTTTGTGTGTGTTCTTTTCCCAAACTCTGGTGCGTTTACCCCCTTAGTTTGGTTCTTTTGGACGGGTGTGAACACTATCCACACTCGGGAAGCGCACTAACCAACGCACAGCGGTTACTAACCAACGCACAGCGTTTACTAACCAACGCACAGCGGTTACTAACCAACGCACAGCGTTTACTAACCAACGCACAGCGTTTACTAACCAACGCACAGCGTTTACTAACCAACGCACAGCGTTTACTAACCAACGCACAGCGGTTACTAACCAACGCACAGCGGTTACTAACCAACGCACAGCGGTTACTAACCAACGCACAGCGGTTACTAACCAACGCACAGCGGTTACTAACCAACGCACAGCGGTTACTAACCAACGCACAGCGTTTACTAACCAACGCACAGCGGTTACTAACCAACGCACAGCGGTTACTAACCAACGCACAGCGGTTACTAACCAACGCACAGCGGTTACTAACCAACGCACAGCGGTTACTAACCAACGCACAGCGGTTACTAACCAAGCACGCGGTTACTAACCAACGCACAGCGTTTACTAACCAACGCACAGCGTTACTAACCAACGCACAGCGGTTACTAACCAACGCACAGCGTTTACTAACCAACGCACAGCGGTTACTAACCAACGCACAGCGGTTACTAACCAACGCACAGCGGTTACTAACCAACGCACAGCGGTTACTAACCAACGCACAGCGGTTACTAACCAACGCACAGCGGTTACTAACCAACGCACAGCGGTTACTAACCAACGCACAGCGGTTACTAACCAACGCCAGCGGTTACTAACCAACGCACAGCGGTTACTAACCAACGCACAGCGTTTTCTAACTAGTTCACATGGGGTTGCAGGTTTGAACCAGTCGGCCAACGGCAGGAGGTGAGCCTCATCAGGTCCGGACCAAACACAGGAAAGAGTTCCTCATCATTATTGGTTGTTTTGACTGCGAGAAGCATCATAACTTCATATCTCTGAAACATTCTGTGTGTAGCAGTGTATTTATGAGCGCATTCGACGCAGATCATGGGAGACTGGGGTTATAGTCCCACATGGCCATATAGGCTACAGAATATAGACAGTCACATCTCAGAGCGGCTATTGCGCTGTTTGCTCCCACATGTTGTTGGGAGACCAAAGCGAAAGTACTATGAAGATTGGGAAACACAAGTGATGCTTCATGACAATCATAGATGAGCATTTTTGTCCAATAAATAAATGACTTGCATGGACACGTGGTTTTGTTCGGGAATTTTTGTTCGTTTGACATTTGGCAATGTGAAACTAACTGGACCAAATTTTAAAAAAAATACAATGTAACAAATAATCAAACTTTGATTTCAACTATTGCTCAAAACCATGTGTGAAATTCCATTTATCTGAACATCGGAGTGTCGCAAACAATCATGCATGTCAGTTCAGCGCGCACAGCGTAACAAGAGAAATTAAAATAAAATATTTGAGAACACATTTATTTGGGAATATATTTCGTAGAACAGACATGCTTCTGAATTAGGCTTTGCCATCTCCAAACCTGCCCCCGCCCCAACAGAAATCCATGGCAGTGTGCCTGGTGCAAAGTAACCATGTTTTTATCAAACGGGAAATGCCCCACTCATCTGGCACACCAGGCAGGTTCAAGCAAATGCTCAACACTGTTTGAAAGATTTTGAATACTATTTGAACCCAGCATGTCCGCCGCTCTCAAACGGGTCCTGGCTCTGAGCCAGCCCTGCAGGATCAACACTATGGCCCGCCCTGCAGGAGAGACTGACCTGCTACTGGAGCACACAACCTCTGACAGGAAGACTGACAGACAGACCAGCCAATGGGAGAGCAGATTCAGAGCTCTGACTAATCCCACTGGTCGGCTAGGGACAAGAGGGTGGGGGTTCCTAGAAGGTGTCTAGCTACTGTGGGATGTTGACAGATAATCATTGGAGGAGGGGAGGAGAAAGGAGTGAGGAGAGAGGAGAACCAAGGAGAGAAGAGGACAGAGGAGAGAGGAGAACAGAGGAGAGGAGGGCAGAGGACAGAGGAGAGGAGGCCAGAGGACAGAGTGGAGGGGAGGGCAGAGGACAGAGGAGAGGAGGCCAGAGGAGAGGGAGACAGGAGGAGAGGAGAAGAGGGCAGAGGAGAGGAGGCCAGAGGAGAGGAGGCCAGAGGAGGACAGAGGAGAAGAGGGCAGAGGAGAGGAGTGGAGGGGAGGGGAGGGCCAAGGGAGAGGAAGAGGGAGCAAAGGACAGAGGGAGGGGCAAGGACAGAGGAGAGAGGGCAGGGGCAGGAGGCCAGAGTGGGAGGGGAGGACAGAGAGGGAGGAGGACAGAGGGGAGGAGGACAGAGGGAGGGAGGACGGGAGAGGAGAGAAGGGAGACGAGGGAAGAGGAGGGAGAGGGAGAGGAGGAGAGAGAGGAGAGGACGAGAGAGGAGGAGGGCTGCTGTTACTTACAGCTGATCTCTGGTCTGGAGTGTTTGTTGGTGGAACGGATGGTGTGTCTCACTACTGAGAGAGGCTGAGGAGGGAGGGAGAGAGAGGGGGAGAGGGGGGAGAAAGATAAAGAGATAGAGCTGCGAGCGATAGGAGGAGAGGAGAGGGGAAGAGAGAGGAGGGGAGAGACAGAGGGGAGAGGGGGAGAAAGATATAGAGCGCGAGCGATAGGAGAGAGAGGAGAAGAGAGAGGGGAAGAAGAGAGAGGGAGAGAGAGGGGGGAGAGAGAGAGAGGGAGAGAGGAGGGGGGGGGGGGGGGTGTGCAGGGGGGAGGCGAGGGGGTCGGAGGGAGAGGCGAGTGGGGAGAAGAGAGAGTAGACAGACATCAAAATTAGATAAGTCTCAAAGTGAAAGTATATACACTACCAGTCAAAAGTTTTAGAAAACCTACTCATTCAAGGGTTTTTCTTTATTTTTTTACTATTTTCTACATTGTAGAATAATAGTGAAGACATCAAAACTATGAAATAACACACATGGAATCATGTAGTAACCCAAAAAGTGTTAAACAAATGAAAATATATTTTTGATTTTTGATTCTTCAAAGTAGCCACCCTTTGCCTTGATGATAGCTTTCCACACTCTTGGCATTCTCTCAACCAGCTGCACCTGGAATGCTTTTCCAACAGTCTTGAAGGAGTTCCCACATATGCTGAGCACTTGTTGGCTGCTTTTCCTTCACTCTGCGGTCCGACTCATCCCAAACCAATTTGGTTGAGGTCGGGTGATTGTGGAGGCCAGGTCATCTGATGCAGCATCCATCACTCTCCTTCTTGATAAAATAGCCCTTACACAGCCTGGAGGTATGTTTTGGGTCATTGTCCTGTTGAAAAACAAATGACCCACTAAGCCCAAACCAGATGGGATGGCGTATCTCTGCAGAATGCTGTGGTAGCCATGCTGGTTAAGTGTGCCTTGAATTCTAAATAAATCACAGACTGTCACCAGCAAAGCACCCCCACACCATAACACCTCCTCCTCCATGCTTCACGGTGGGAAATACACATGCAGAGATCATCCGTTCACCCACAACACGTCTCACAACGACATGGTGGTTGGAACCAAAAATCTCAAATTTGGACCCAAGACCAAGGACACATTTCCACCGGTCTAATGTCCATTGCTCGTGTTTCTTGGCCCAAGCAGGTCTCTTCTTCTTATTGGTGTCCTTTAGTAGTGGTTTCTTTGCAGCAATTCGACCATGAAGGCCTGCTTCACGCAGTCTCCTCTGAACAGTTGATGTTGAGATGTGTCTGTTACTTGAACTCTGTGAAGCATTTATTTGGCCTGCAATTTCTGAGGCTGGTAACTCTAATTAACTTATCCTCTGCAGCAGAGGTAACACTGGGTCTTCCATTCCTGTGGTGGTCCTCATGAGAGCCAGTTTCATCATTGCGCTTGATGGTTTTTTGTGACTGCACTTGAAGAAACTTTCAAAGTTCTTGAAATTTTCAGAATTGACTGACTTCATGTCTTAAAGTAATGATGGACTGTCATTTCTCTTTGCTTATTTGAGCTGTTCTTGCCATAATATGGACGGTCTTTTACCAAATAGGGCTATCTTCTGTATACCCCCTCTACCTTGTCACAACACAACTGATTGTCTCAAACGCATTAAAAAGGAAATAAATTCCACAAATTAACTGTGAAGAAGGCACACCTGTTAATTGAAATGCATTCCAGGTGACTACCTCATGAAACTGGCTGAGAGAATGCCAAGAGTGTGCAAAGCTGTCAGAGGCAAAGGGTGGCTATTTTGAAGAATCTCAAATATAAAATATATTTTGATTTGTTTAACACTTTTTTGTTTACTACATGATTCCATGTGTTATTTCATAGTTTTGATGTCTTCACTATTATTCTACAATGTAGAAAATTGTTTTAAAAAAAACGTTGTTTTTGCAAATCTATAAACTAAATAAATAATGGAAATATCACATTTACATAAGTATTCAGACCCTTTACTCAGTACTTTGTTGAAGCACCATTGGCAGCGATTACTGTCTCGAGTCTTCTTGGGTATGACGCTACAAGCTTGGCACACCTGTATTTGGGGAGTTTCTCCCATAAATTCCACAAATTAACTGTGAAGAAGGCACACCTGTTAATTGAAATGCATTCCAGGTGACTACCTCATGAAACTGGCTGAGAGAATGCCAAGAGTGTGCAAAGCTGTCAGAGGCAAAGGGTGGCTATTTTGAAGAATCTCAAATATAAAATATATTTTGATTTGTTTAACACTTTTTTGTTTACTACATGATTCCATATGTGTTATTTCATAGTTTTGATGTCTTCACTATTATTCTACAATGTAGAAAATTGTTTTAAAAAAACGTTGTTTTTGCAAATCTATAAACTAAATAAATAATGGAAATATCACATTTACATAAGTATTCAGACCCTTTACTCAGTACTTTGTTGAAGCACCATTGGCAGCGATTACTGTCTCGAGTCTTCTTGGGTATGACGCTACAAGCTTGGCACACCTGTATTTGGGGAGTTTCTCCCATTCTTCTCTGCAGATCCTCTCAAGCTCTGTCAGGTTGGATTGGGAGCGTTGCTGCACAGATATTTTCAGGTCTTTCCAGAGATGTTCGATCTGGTTCAAGTCCTGGGCTCTGGCTGGGCCACTCAAGGACATTCAGAGACTTGTCCCGAAGCCACTCCTGCATTGTCTTGGCTGTGTGCTTAGGGTCGTTGTCCTGTTGGAAGGTTAACCTTCGCCCCAGTCTGAGGTCCTGAGCTCTCTGGAGCAGGTTTACATCAAGGATCTCTCTGTACTTTGCTCCGTTCATCTTTCCCTTGATCCTGACTAGTCTCCCAGTCCCTGCCGCTGAAAAACATCCCCACAGCATGATGCTGCCACCACCATGCTTCACTGTAGGGATGGTGCCAGGATTCCTCCAGACCGGACGCTTGGCATTCAGGCCAAAGAGTTCAACCTTGGTTTCATCAGACCAGAGAATCTTGTTTCTCATGGTCAGAGTCCTTTAGGTGCCTTTTGGCAAACTCCAAGCAGGCTGTCATGTTCCTTTTACTGAGGAGTGGCTTCCGTCTGGCCACTCTACCATAAAGGCCTGATTGGGGGAGTGCCGTAGAGATGGTTGTCCTTCTGGAAGGTTCTCCTATCTCCACAGAGGAACTCTGGAGCTCTGTCAGAGTGACCATCGGGTTCTTGGTCACCTCCCTGACCAAGGCCCTTCTCCCCCGATTCTTCCTAGTTTGGCCGGGCGGCCAGCTCTAGGAAGAGTCTTGGTGGTTCCAAACTTCTTCCATTTAAGAATGATGGAGGCCACTGTGTTCTTGGGGACCTTCAATGCTGCAGAAATGTTTTGGTACCCTTCCCCAGATCTGTGCCTCGACACAATCCTGTCTCGGAGCTCTACGGACAATTCCTTCGACCTCATGGCTTGGTTTCTGCTCTGACATGCACTGTCAACTGTGGGACCTTATATTGACAGGTGTGTGCTCTTTCCAAATCATGTCCAATCAATTGAATTTACCACAGGTGGACTCCAATCAAGTTGTAGAAACATCTCAAGGATGATCAATGGAAACAGGATGCACCTGAGCTCAATTTCAAGTCTCATAGCAAAGGGTCTGAATACTCATGTAAATAAGGTATTTCTGTTTTTTTAACTGTTTTTCGCTTTGTCATTATACATTTACATTTTTGTCATTTAGCAGACGCTCTTATCCAGAGCGACTTACAAAATTATGGGCTATTGTGTGTAGATTGATGAGGACAATTTTGTATTTTATCCATTTAAGATGAAGGCTGTAAACGTAACAAAATGTGGAAAAAGTGAAGGGGTCTGAATACTTTCTGAATGCACTGTAAATACATAACATGACACCACAGGTGTAAACAATATCATAAAAGGTGAGGACAGCAGTGCAGCAATGTGAAATGTGTTATTAGTTAAGGAGCCATGTTTCCCCTGACATGCACGGTCACATGATTACGTGCACCCCAGTAGCTGGCTGTGTACCAAATTGCAACCCTACTCCCCTATCCACACGGCTCCCAGCCAGACGCCACGCACACTAGCATTTCTTCTCCAACATGAGTCCGGATTTGCTTTCCTCCCTGACGTCTTCTAGAATGAGAACACATTCTGATTGTTTCCGATTGGTCCCAGAAACCGATGGGATGGGGCCAGAGCCGGCCTACAAGATTATGTTATAAACTTTGATACTCTGATTGGTTAAGAGACAATCCAATCGCCTGATGAATTTGTTTTGAACAACGCCCCTCATTTTGACGTCAGGACAAACGACTTCTAGGATAAGCAGTTTCATGTATGGAGTGATCGATAGAGCAGCGGAATTAAATTCAGGCAAATATAGTGGCCTAGCCCAAAAGTATTGAACAGGGGGCCATTTGGGACACATCCGTTGTGTGTATATAAAAACTAGCACCGTCAAAATGAGAGAGAGCATGCTGGGTTATTCCAAGACAAGAAAGTGGGTTCTGCCGTCTTCCTCCATCAGTGAACAGAACAGTAGTGTTCTAATGAGGCCTGTAGTGGTGCGACCACCTCTCTCTCTCTGGATGGATAACAAACAGATCTCACACATGTTGATACCAGTTAAAACACATGATAATGCAGAGAGGGAGAGGTAAGACAGGATGAAGAGAGAAGGGGCAGGAGGGAGAGGGAGGGAGGAGAGTGAGAGGAAGGAGAGGGATAGAGAGAAAGTTATAGGGATGCACTGTATATAGGGGAATAGGGAGACAGACAGTGCTGTGGTTAGTTTAGCCCCAGCCAGACAGACAGTGCTGTGGTTAGTTTTAGCCCCAGGCAGACAGACAGTGCTGTGGTTAGTTTTAGCCCCAGCCGACAGACAGTGCTGTGGTTAGTTTTAGCCCAGCCAGACAGACAGTGCTGTGGTTAGTTTTAGCCCCAGCCAGACAGACAGTGCTGTGGTTAGTTTTAGCCCCAGCCAGACAGACAGTGCTGTGGTTAGTTTTAGCCCCAGCCAGACAGACAGTGCTGTGGTTAGTTTTAGCCCCAGCCAGACAGACAGTTGCTGTGGTTAGTTTTAGCCCCAGCCAGACAGACAGTGCTGTGGTTAGTTTTAGCCCAGCCAGACAGACAGGGCTGTGGTTAGTTTTAGCCCCAGCCAGACAGACAGTGCTGTGGTTAGTTTTAGCCCCAGCCAGACAGACAGTGCTGTGGTTAGTTTAGCCCCAGCCAGACAGACAGTGCTGTGGTTAGTTTTAGCCCCAGCCAGACAGACAGGGCTGTGGTTAGTTTTAGCCCCAGCCAGACAGACAGTGCTGTGGTTAGTTTTAGCCCCAGCCAGACAGACAGGGCTGTGGTTAGTTTTAGCCCCAGCCAGACAGACAGGGCTGTGGTTAGTTTTAGCCCCAGCCAGACAGACAGTGCTGTGGTTAGTTTTAGCCCCAGCCAGACAGACAGTGCTGTGGTTAGTTTTAGCCCCAGCCAGACAGACAGGGCTGTGGTTAGTTTTAGCCCCAGCCAGACAGACAGGGCTGTGATTAGTTATATACCTCCAGGTCATCGTCGTCCACCTCAGAGAAGTGTTGGTGGTTGTCTGGGTTGTTCATCTTGTCCAGCAGCTCCACAGCTACCCTCCTGGTCAGACCTGTCTGGCCTATAAACACATGCTGTAACACGGAGGGAGGGAGGGAGGGAGGGAGGGAGACAGACAGACAGACAGACAGGAGGATAAACAGACAGACAGACAGATACACAGACAGAGGGACAGACAGAGGGACAGACAGAGGGACAGACAGAGGGACAGACAGAGGGACAGACAGAGGGACAGACAGAGGGACAGCCAGAGGGACAGACAGAGGGACAGCCAGAGGGACATACAGACAGAGGGACATACAGACAGAGGGACAGACAGACAGACAGAGGGACAGACAGACAGACAGAGGGACAGACAGACAGACAGAGGGACAGACAGACAGAGGGACAGACAGACAGAGGGACAGACAGACAGAGGGACAGACAGAGGGACAGACAGAGGGACAGACAGAGGGACAGACAGAGGGACAGACAGACAGACAGAGGGACAGACAGACAGACAGAGGGACAGACAGACAGAGGGACAGACAGACAGACAGACAGACAGACAGAGGGACAGACAGACAGAGGGACAGACAGACGGACAGACAGACAGGCTTTATTAGTGATCTAGTGACATCAAGAACACCAGATGGTCTGCACACTAATACTCCTAATAACAGATATTAACTAGTGACAACTATTAACAAACTGACATATTTTACCATGGAGTCCAGAAAAAAAAAGAGATGAAGAATTTCATTTTCACTATAATTAACACCTTGTACATCTCAGAGGAAGAGTCTTGTCAACCCTAATGATCCAGAACATTTGTAATTATTAACTCTAGAAAATGTATGCACTCACTAACTGTAAGTCGCTCTGGATAAGAGCGTCTGCTAAATGACTAAAATGTAAAATGTAGATTAATTAGACTGTATAAGCTGGTTTCCCTGACACTATTCCTCGACCAAGAAGCACTTTCAAATGAGTACGTGTCAGTTAGTTACCGAAAGGAGCTTCTCTGCTGTCGGTCTCTTCTTTGGGTTCTTGGTCAGACAGACTTTAACGAAGTTATGGAAGGCTGTGGACCTGGAAGGGAAACTACCGTTACGGACTGCAGCAGTAAAACAGAAAACAGAAACAACGGGGTATAACCGTTCCGGGTCACAGGTGGACTGTACTGTACTCACCATTTAGTTTTGTCTTTTAGCTTGGGAGGCTGAAAGCTGCTCTTTGACATGAAAAACAAGGCCCTGGAATAGAACACAACTGATATTAAATCATGTCATATAATAATAATAATAATAATATGCCATTTAGCAAACGCTTTTATCCAAAGCGACTTACAGTCATGCGTGCATACATTTTTTTTTTTTTTGTGTATGGGTGGTCCCGGGGTTCGAACCCACTACCTTGGCGTTACCAGCTGAGCTATAACATTCTCTTATTTTACCACCAGTGTGGTGAGACTTTCCCACAATGTACTGGGGTGAGTTTCACAAAACCTTCCTACGCACTAAGACCATCTTAAGGCCAGTGGAAGGCATTAAGGCAATGGACTAACAATAATCTTAGTGCTACAAACATTTTGGGAAACTCGCCCCTGTAATTTTAATTGCATCAGATCAGAGAACAGCTTTAGTGATGAAAAGATCAGAGGCAACATTATCAGAATACAAAAGCAGGAAGTAGATCAATCCAGCAGATTGTTAGATAAGTGGGGCAGAAACAGCAGTTGATCGGTGGATGACATGTGTAAGGAAGTGGAGGGCAGGAGCAGCACTCATTGGCTGATATATGAGGAAGTGACCTAACGTAGCAGCCTGAGCGGAATCCCCTCTTCCGTTTTTCAGGGGAAACGGAAGTTAGGTTGAAAATATTGTAAACCTGAAAACCGGCAACATCCGCTTTCTGCCGACACCTCAAAAGGGTGATGAGGAAGTGGAGTAGAAACAGCCCTGATTGGTTGATATATACGAGGAAGTGGAGCAGAAACAGCACTGATTAATAGATGAGTGAGGAAGTGGATGGCGGAGACAGCCCAGATTGGCTGATAAGTGAGGAAGTGGATCAGGAGCAGTACCTCATTGGGTGCAGGTCAAACATAGGGGGCTGCAGCTCAGCCAGTTCTATTGCGGTGATGCCCACGGCCCAGATGTCACACAGCTGGTTGTATCCTCCGTTCTTCTCCACCGCTGCTACCTCCGGGGCCATCCTGGACAGAATAAAGACATATTACACATAGAAATAGAATTAATTCTAGTTTGGGGATATTACACATCTAGTCTTCCCGTTCCACATCATCTCAATCCGCTACCTCAGGGGCCATACATCGGGTTAGGGCCGGGTAGGGCCTGTTTTCTCATCAATAACTAAAGGTTCGGGCAGGGCTTCACTAAATTGATCAGTAACATTTTGAAGCTCAGCCATTTCCTCGTGCTCTGCTGCACAGTACAGTCATATCTGACTAAGACCATAACATGGTGTCAGAAGCGCTTCAACCTCGTCCAATATAAAAACAGGAGAGATTACTTCACAGAAAATAATGATGTTCCTTGAGTTTTGTCAGAGTTTAGAGTGACTGAAAGTAGCTAACAGCTAACGGCTCTCTCATGTCTCTTCATTGAGCAGAGCAGCCCAAGTGGAGCCGTTGCTATGGATACTCACAGACTCAGAGCGCCACGAGCTCAGGCTCGGGTTTAAAATTCATACGGCTCTAGGGTTAGTTAATGTATTACACTGCTGCCCCCTGTGGGTTAGTTAATGTATTACACTGCTGCCCCCTGTGGGTTAGTTAATGTATTACACTGCTGCCCCCTGTGGGTTAGTTAACGTATTACACTGCTGCCCCCTGTGGGTTAGTTAACGTATTCCACTGCTGCCCCCTGTGGGTTAGTTAACGTATTACACTGCTGCCCCCTGTGGGTTAGTTAACGTATTACACTGCTGCCCCCTGTGGGTTAGTTAACGTATTACACTGCTGCCCCCTGTGGGTTAGTTAACGTATTCCACTGCTGCCCCCTGTGGGGTAGTTAACGTATTACACTGCTGCCCCCTGTGGGGTAGTTAACGTATTCCACTGCTGCCCCCTGTGGGGTAGTTAACGTATTCCATTGCTGCCCCCTGTGGGGTAGTTAACGTATTACACTGCTGCCCCCTGTGGGGTATTTAACGTATTCCACTGCTGCCCCCTGTGGGGTATTTAACGTATTCCACTGCTGCCCCCTATGGGTTATTTAACGTATTCCAATGCTGCCCCCTGTGGGGTATTTAACGTATTCCACTGCTGCCCCCTGTGGGGTATTTAACGTATTCCACTGCTGCCCCCTGTGGGGTAGTTAAAGTACTACAATGCTGCCCCCTGTGGGTTGGGGGGGGGTGATCCTCTAGTGAGGCATGGCCCTGAAGAGAAAGTTGCCTGAACAACAGCAATCTTTGAATAAACACTTTCAGGGGCTCTTTATGGAGAGAAAGTGTCGTCCCAAATGGCACCCTATAAAAGTAGTGAACTATAAAGGGAACAGGGTGCCATTCGGGACAAACGGTCTCAGAGGAGGACTCACCAGTAAGGGGTCCCGATGAAGGACTTCCTCTTGGCAATGGTGGCTGTTATTTTGGCTGCTACTCCAAAATCGGCTGGAATGAGAAGTGACAGGTCCTTTCAGATGATATAAACAGACACACAGCTGAGGGTCACGAGGTTAGCCCTTTTATAGGCCGTCTTCATAGAGATCGAATAGCTCACCTAGTTTCACATCCCCGCTGTCTGTCAGGAGGATATTAGCACCCTGGAGAAAAGAACCCAAACGTCGAGCCGTTAGTCTCTCAGCCGCACAGCAATGTGTTGATACTGCTTTACTCATCTCATATCTACATTACTGTATTCTATTCTACTGTATTTTAGTCAATTCTACTCCAACATTGCTCATCCTAATATTTATTTATTTCTTAATTCCATTCTTTCACTTTTAGATGTGTGTATTTTTGTGAATTGTTAGATACTACTGCATTGTTGGAGCTAGGAACGCAAGCGTTTCGCTACACCCGCAATAACATCTGCTAAACGTGTGTATGTGACAAATTAGATTTGATTTGATTTGAGGATATATAAAGTTCCATCACTCTTCAGAACTTAACAGCTGATCAAACATTTCCCCTTTCCACAAAATGATTATCATGAGTGTGTTATTTCATCTTCGACTGGTTGTGATAAAGTGATTGTAATTGTGTAGCTAGCAGGTATTGTATTTTCACTGTGGGGCAACACTATAGTGAGGGAGTTTGTATTGTGGTAGCGGGGTTGGCAGTTTATTGACAGCTGTGTCTGGTGGCATTCTGCAGTGAGAGAAAGAGGAGAGAGAGGAGGAGAGAGCGAGAGAGAGAGAGAGAGGGGGGGGAGGAGAGAGAGAAGAGAGACCAGAGAGAGAAGACGAGAGAGGAGGAGAGAGAAGAGAGAGAAGAGAGAGGAGGAGAGAGAGCAACAGAGCGCGAGAGAGAGGGAGGGAGGGAGGGAGGGAGGGAGGGAGGGAGAAAGAGATGGGTAGAGGAGAGCAGAGATGGTTTACTTGCTTTGGCAATGTAAAAAAATGTTTCCCATGATAATAAAGCCCTTTGAATTGAGAGAGCCAGAGAGAGAGAGAGACAGAGAGAGAGAGGGAGAGAGAGAGCCAGAGAGAGAGGAGAGAGGAGCCAGAGAGAGAGAGAGAGAGAGAGAGAGAGGAGAGAGGAGAGAGGAGAGGAGGGAGAGGGAGAGAGAGAGCCAGAGAGAGAGAGAGCCAGAGAGAGAGGGGGGGGGGGGGGGGGGGGGGGGGGTGACAGCAACACAATTAGACCCAACCAAATCATGACAAAACAAAAAGATAATTACTTGAAACATTGGAAAGAATTTACAAAAAAACTGAGCAAACTAGAATGCTATTTGGCCCTAAACAGAGAGTACACAGTGGCAGAATACCTGACCACTGTGACTGACCCAAAAATTAAGGACATCTTTGACTATGTACAGACTCAGTGAGCATAGCCTTGCTATTGAGAAAGGCAGCCGTAGGCAGACCTGGCTCTCAAGAGAAGACAGGCTATGTGCACACTGCCCACAAAATGAGGTGGAAACTGAGCTGCACTTCCTAACCTCCTGCCAAATGTATGACCATATTAGAGACACATATTTCCCTCAGATTACACAGACCCACAAAGAATTCAAAAACAAACCCAATTTTGATAAACTCCCATATCTATTGGGTGAAATACCAGTGTGCCGTCACAGCTGCAAGATTTGTGACCTGTTGCCACAAGAAAAGGGCAACCAGTGAAGAACAAACACTATTGTAAATACAACCCATATTTATGTTTATTTATTTTCCCATTTGTACTTTAACTATTTGCACATTGTTACAACACTGTATATAGACATAATATGACATTTGAAATGTCTTTATTCTTTTGGAACTTCTGAGTAATGTTTACTGTTAATATTTATTTCACTTTTGTTTACTATCTACTTCACTTGCTTTGGCAACGTTAACATACGTTTCCCATGCCAATAAAGCCCTTAAATTGAATTGAGAGAGAGAGAGAGAGAGAGAGAGAGAGAGAGAGAGAGAGAGAGAGAGAGAGAGGACAGCAGAAACAGGAAACGACTCTCTGGGTATGGTGGTAAAGCTGAGATATGCTCTGCACCCAACCCTGACCCACTGATAACAACACAAGAGAACAGAACCTCTGCACCCAACCCTGACCCACTGATAACAACACAAGAGAACAGAACCTCTGGACTCAACCCTGACCCACTGATAACAACACAAGAGAACAGAACCTCTGGACTCAACCCTGACCCACTGATAACAACACAAGAGAACAGAACCTCTGCACCCAACCCTGACCCACTGATAACAACACAAGAGAACAGAACCTCTGGACTCAACCCTGACCCACTGATAACAACACAAGAGAACAGAACCTCTGCACCCAACCCTGACCCACTGATAACAACACAAGAGAACAGAACCTCTGCACCCAACCCTGACCCACTGATAACAACACAAGAGAACAGAACCTCTGCACCCAACCCTGACCCACTGATAACAACACAAGAGAACAGAACCATTACACTAGGGCTAGAGGCATGAACTGGGTCGTTGTCTGTAGGCCACAGAAACAGAAACAGTGTGTTTCTTATTGGACAAGTCCAGTTAATCCCTCCCTGTTTCAGTCTGTTTTCTTCCGTTTGGTGTCTAATAGTGCTGAGTGATTAGTGCGTTTTGAGTCCGGTTTGGTTTCTGTTCGATTCTTAAAAAATAATCTGTTTCTTTTGATTTCAGTTTTGAATGCTGTTAACACAGAATAAAACGATTAATATAAAAGTCCCATGATGGTAGTGACCATCATTTATTAACGTGACTTGAATAAAATATTTCAGTTGTTGTGTATATTACATTTGTTGACTTTATTATTTCATTCCAAGTCATCATCTCATCTCTATAGAGCTGCTGCCTACGCTGACTGACTAAAATCAGTCACATGCAACCGCAGTACACCACTACATACCCCCAAGCCAGCCAGCCAGCCAGCCAGCCAGCCAGCTAGCCAGCCAGCCAGCCAACCACTCTCTTCCTGTGGCTTTTACTCACTCTGCAGAGATGAAATACCACCATACTTCTCTGGTGCAGCGTCGACACAAGGGGGTAATATTGCAGACGACGTGTTTTTAACAATGTAATTCACACCTCAGTCTGCAGCGAAGAGGAAGGTGTGAGAGCGGTACTGCCAGACAAGGACTTCTTCCCCTTCATGATGAACTGGCAGAGACATTTAGTGGGCCAGTGTAAAGAAGAGAGAGGGAATATGTACGGTGCCATACCTTGATATCACGGTGCATCTTTCCCTTGCTGTGTAGGTATCCCAAACCCTGTGAATGAAAAGAGCCATGTGAGACTGGGTGGAATTGCTAACGTTGGCGACACCCAGAAGAGTAAATGTGAGAAGTTAGACACCAACTAGGGCTGGTTTCCTGGATCTAGATTAAATCTAGGCCTATTTCCGGCCTAAACAGCCCTTTAAATGGAGATACCATTGAGTACAGTTTTGTAGTCTTGGGGGCTTTATGTATCAAGCGTCGAGTAGGATCTAGGATCGGGTCCTCCCTGTCCATATAACCTCCTTCACTGTGATCTAAAAAGGCAAAACTCTGATCCTAAAATCAGCACAGCTGCTCTGAGACGGCCGCAGAAGTAGGCCGAGTCGAGGTCCAGGAAACTGGCACCAAGAGGGTTGAACCATGTCTAATTACCTGTATGGTCTCTCTGCAGACGTAGGCGATCTGTATCTCTGACAAGGGACCCGTCACTGGGAAATGAAAACATGGTTATTCTGCTGCTGTCCTTTCTATAGTTAATTACACACTGTAAATACAAAAGTATGTGGACGACCCTTCAAATGAGTGGATTCGGATATTGTAGCCACACCCGTTGCTGACAGGTGTATAAAATCGAGCACACAGCCGTGCAATCTCCATAGACAAACATTGGCAGTAGAATGGCCTTACTGAAGAGCTCAGTGACTTTCAACGTGACACCGTCATAGGATGACACCTTTACAACAAGTCAGTTCGTAAAATGTCTGCCCTGCTAGAGCTGCCCCGGTCAACTGTAAGTGCTGTTATTGTGAAGTGGAAACGTCTAGGAGCAACAACGGCTCAGCCGCGAAGTGGTAGGCCACACAAGCTCACAGAACGGGACCGCCGAGTGCTGAAGAGCATAGCGTGTAAAAATAGTATGTCCGAGGTTGCAACACTCACTACCGAGTTCAAAAATGCCTCTGGAAGCAACGTCAGCACAATAACTGTTTGTCAGATGCTTCATGAAATGGGTTTAAATGGCTGAGCAGCCGCACACAAGCCTAAGATCCCCATGCGCAATGCCAAGCGTCGGCTGGAGAGGTGTAAAGCTCGCCGCCATTGGACTCTGGGGCAGTAGAAACGCGTTCTGTGGAGTGATGAATCACGCTTCACCATCTGGCAGTCTGACGGACAAATCTGGGTTTGGCGGATGCCAGGAGAACGCTACCTGCCCCAACTGTAAAGTTTGGTAGAGGAGGAATAATGGTCTGGGGCTGTTTTTCATGGTTCGGGCTAGGCCCCTTAGTTCCAGTGAAGGGAAATCTTAACGCTACAGCATACAATGACATTCTAGACAATTCTGTGCTTCCAACTTTGTGGCAACAGTTTGGGGAAAGGCCCTTTCCTGTTTCAGCATGACAATGCCCCCGTGCACAAAGCAAGGTCCATACAGAAATGGTTTGTCGAGATCAGTGTGGAGGAACTTGACTGGCCTGCAGAGAGCCCTGACCTCAACCCCAACGAACACCTTTGGGATGAATTGGAACGCCGACTGCGAGCCAGGCCTAATCGCCCAACATCAGTGCATGACCTCACTAATGCTCTTGTGGCTGAATGGAAGCAAGTCCCCGCAGCAATGTTCCAACATCTAGTGGAAAGCCTTCCCAGAAGAGTGGAGGCTGTTATAGCAGCAAAGGGGGGACCAACTCCATATTAATGCCCATAATTTTGAGATGTTCGACGAGCAGGTGTCCACATACTTTTGGTCATGTAGTGTATGTTTATTATAAGGGTCAGATTGATTACAGTTTACAGACAGAATCCTAGGCAACGGTGTGGTCATACAACAGGGGGAGGGATGAAACATGTCAACAATAAGAAGCCATAAGTTATGATGGCAATAACTCTGATGATGATATGAGAGAGAGAGAGAGAGAGAGACATCGGTTAAGAGCGTTGGGCCAGTAACCGAATACTTCCTGGTTCAGATCCCCGAGCCGACTTGGTGAAAAATCTGCAGATGTGCCCTTGAGCAAGGCACTTAACCCTAATCGCTCCTGTAAGTCGCTCTGAATAAGAGCGTCTGCTAAATTACTAAAAATGTTTTTAAAAATGAGAGATGTGAGCAGAACAACGCACCATGATATACGTCTTGTAGAGATCCTCCACCACAGTACTCCATACAGATCCACAGCTTCGCCCGGCTGATACAGGGAGGGAGAGGAGACAGTTAGGGAAGTGTTTACAATGACCTCAGCATAATAGTCTGTAGAACACAGAAACAAAGAACAGTGCATGCCTCTGATGATGCTAACCACATTGCTGCTAGCGCTAGTCATCTTTTACTATTCACTGAGCTGACTGTACATGTTGGCTACATTATAAATCCCTGCTGGCTGCCTGCTGTGATAAAGCATACGTCTCTCCTGACTAATCGACATATAAACCAGATCAGAAGCTCTTTAGTCCTGTTAAACCTGCTGGAGGTTCCAGTTCCTGGAAGTACAGGCCTGGGTCTATATATAAGTCTATGAGCAGGCCTGGGCCTATTTAAGTCTATGAGCAGGGCTGGGTCTATATAAGTCTATGAGCAGGGCTGGGTCTATATATAAGTCTATGAGCAGGCCTGGGCCTATATAAGTCTATGAGCAGGGCTGGGCCTATATAAGTCTATGAGCAGGGCTGGGTCTATATACAAGTCTATGAGCAGGCCTGGGCCTATATAAGTCTATGAGCAGGGCTGGGTCTATAAAAGTCTATGAGCAGGGCTGGGTCTATAAAAGTCTATGAGCAGGGCTGGGTCTATATAAGTCTATGAGCAGGGCTGGGTCTATATAAGTCTATGAGCAGGGCTGGGTCTATAAAAGTCTATGAGCAGGGCTGGGTCTATATAAGTCTATGAGCAGGGCTGGGTCTATATAAGTCTATGAGCAGGGCTGGGTATATATAAGTCTATGAGCAGGGCTGGGTCTATATAAGTCTATGAGCAGGGCTGGGTCTATATAAGTCTATGAGCAGGGCTGGGTCTATATAAGTCTATGAGCAGGGCTGGGTCTATATAAAAGTCTATGAGCAGGGCTGGGTCTATATAAGTCTATGAGCAGGGCTGGGTCTATATAAGTCTATGAGCAGGGCTGGGTCTATATAAGTCTATAAGCAGGGCTGGGTCTATATAAAAGTCTATGAGCAGGGCTGGGTCTATATATAAGTCTATGAGCAGGGCTGGGCCTATATAAGTCTATGAGCAGGGCTGGGTCTATATATAAGTATATGAGCAGGGCTGGGTCTATATAAGTCTATGAGCAGGGCTGGGTCTATATAAGTCTATGAGCAGGGCTGGGTCTATATAAGTCTATGAGCAGGGCTGGGTCTATATATAAGTCTATGAGCAGGGCTGGGTCTATATAAGTATATGAGCAGGGCAGGGCCTATAAGTCTATGAGCAGGGCTGGGTCTATATAAGTCTATGAGCAGGACTGGGTCTATATAAGTCTATGAGCAGGGCTGGGTCTATATAAGTCTATGAGCAGGGCTGGGTCTATATAAGTCTATGAGCAGGGCTGGGTCTATATAAGTCTATGAGCAGGGCTGGGTCTATATAAGTCTATGAGCAGGGCTGGGTCTATATAAGTCTATGAGCAGGGCTGGGTCTATATAAGTCTATGAGCAGGGCTGGGTCTATATATAAGTCTAAGTTAAATTAAACATAACGATGGTCATTATGGCCAAACAGTTCTATTTTTGTTTCATCAGACCAGAGGACATTTCTCCAAAAAGTACGATCTTTGTCCCCATGTGCAGTTGCAAACCGTAGTCTGGCTTTTTTATGGCGGTTTTGGAGCAGTGGCTTCTTCCTTGCTGAGCGGCCTTTCGATATAAGACTCGTTTTACTGTGGATATAGATACTTTTGTACCTGTTCCCTCCAGCATCTTCACAAGGTCCTTTGCTGTTGTTCTGGGATTGATTTGCACTTTTCGCACCAAAGTACGTTCATCTCTAGGAGACAGAACGCATCTCCTTCCTGACCGCTATGACGGCTGCGTGGTCCCATGGTGTTCATACTTGCGTACTATTGTTTGTACAGATGAACGTGGTACCTTCAGGCGTTTGGAAATTGCTCCCAAGGATGAACCAGACTTGTGGAGGTCTACAATTTATTTTCTGAGGTCTTGGCTGATTTCTTTTGATTTCCCCATGATGTCAAGCAAAGAGGAACTGAGTTTGAAGGTAGGCCTTGAAATACATCCACAGGTACACCCCCAATTGACTCAAATGATGTCAATTGGCCTATCAGAAGCTTCTAAAGCCATGACATCATTTTCTGGAATTTTCCAAGCTGTTTAAAGGCACAGTCAACTTAGTGTATGTAAACTTCTGACCCACTGGAATTGTGATACAGTGAATTATAAGTGAAATAATCTGTCTGTAAACAATTGTTGGAAAAATTACTTGCGTCATGCACAAAGTAGATGTCCTAACCGACTTACCAAAACTATAGTTTGTTAACAAGACATTTGTGGAGTGGTTGAAAAACTAGTTTTAATGACTCCAACTGGTTGAAAAACGAGTTTTAATGACTCCAACCTAAATATATGTAAACTTCAGACTTCAACTGTATATGTATATGAGCAGGGCTGGGCCTATATAAGTTTATGAGCAGGGCTGGGTCTATATAAGTCTATGAGCAGGGCTGGGTCTATATAAGTCTATGAGCAGGGCTGGGTCTATATATAAGTCTATGAGCAGGGCTGGGTCTATATAAGTCTATGAGCAGGGCTGGGTCTATATAAGTATATGAGCAGGGCTGGGCCTATATATAAGTCTATGAGCAAGGCTGGGTCTATATAAGTCTATGAGCAGGGCTGGGTCTATATAAGTCTATGAGCAGGGCTGGGTCTATATATAAGTCTATGAGCAGGGCTGGGTCTATATAAGTCTATGAGCAGGGCTGGGTCTATATATAAGTCTATGAGCAGGGCTGGGCCTATATAAGTCTATGAGCAGGGCTGGGCCTATATATAAGTCTATGAGCAGGGCTGGGTCTATATATAAGTCTATGAGCAGGGCTGGGTCTATATATAAGTCTATGAGCAGGGCTGGGTCTATATATAAGTCTATGAGCAGGGCTGGGTCTATATAAGTCTATGAGCAGGGCTGGGTCTATATAAGTCTATGAGCAGGGCTGGGCCTATATAAGTCTATGAGCAGGGCTGGGTCTATATAAGTCTATGAGCAGGGCTGGGTCTATATAAGTCTATGAGCAGGGCTGGGTCTATATAAGTCTATGAGCAGGGCTGGGTCTATATAAGTCTATGAGCAGGGCTGGGTCTATATAAGTATATGAGCAGGGCTGGGCCTATATAAGTCTATGAGCAGGGCTGGGTCTATATAAGTCTATGAGCAGGGCTGGGTCTATATAAGTCTATGAGCAGGGCTGGGTCTATATAAGTCTATGAACAGGGCTGGGTCTATATAAGTCTATGAGCAGGGCTGGGCCTATATAAGTCTATGAGCAGGGCTGGGTCTATATATAAGTCTATGAGCAGGGCTGGGTCTATATAAGTCTACGAGCAGGGCTGGGTCTATATAAGTCTATGAGCAGGGCTGGGTCTATATAAGTCTATGAACAGGGCTGGGTCTATATAAGTCTATGAGCAGGGCTGGGTCTATATAAGTCTATGAGCAGGGCTGGGTCTATATAAGTCTATGAGCAGGGCTGGGTCTATATAAGTCTATGAGCAGGGCTGGGTCTATATAAGTCTATGAGCAGGGCTGGGTCTATATAAGTCTATGAGCAGGGCTGGGTCTATATAAGTCTATGAGCAGGGCTGGGTCTATATAAGTCTATGAACAGGGCCTATATACAGTGCATTCAGAAAGTATTCAGACCCCTTGACTTTTTGAACATTGTTAAGTTACAGCCTTATTCTAAAATGGATTGAATTGTTTTCTTCCCCTCATCAATCTACACACAATACCCCACAATAACAAAGCAACAATTTTTTTTAGGACATTTTGAAAATGTATAAAAAATGTATTAGAAAAATATCACATTTACATGAGTATTCAGACCCTTTACTCAGTACTTTGTTGAAGCACCTTTGGCAACGATTACAGCCTCAAGGCTTCTTGGGTATGACGCTACAAGCTTGGCACACCTATATTTGGGGAGTTTCTTCTCTGCAGGTCCTTTCAAGCTCTGTCAGGTTGGATAGGGAGCGTCGCTGCGCAGCTATTTTCAGGTCTCCAGATGTTTGATCGGGTTCAAGTCCGGGCTCTGGCTGGGCCACTCAAGGACATTCAGAGAATTGTCCCGAAGCCACTCATGCGTTGTCTTGGCTGTGTGCTTAGGGTCGTTGTCCTGTTGGAAGGTGAACCTTCGCCCCAGTCTGAGGTCCTGAGCTCTCTGGAGCAGGTTTTCATAAAGGACCTCTCAGTACTTTGCTCCGTTCATCTTTCCCTTGAGCCTGACTAGTCTCTCAGTCCCTGCCGCTGAAAAACATCCCCACAGCATGATGCTGCCACCACCATGCTACACCGTAGGGATGGTGCCAGGATTCCTCCAGACCGGACGCTTGGCAGTCAGGCCAAAGAGTTCAATCTTGGTTTCATCAGACCAGAGAATCTTGTTTGTCATGGTCTGAGAGTCCTTTAAGTGCCTTTTGACAAACTCCAAGCAGGCTGTCATGTACCTTTTACTAAGGAGTGGCTTCCGTCTGGCCACTCTACCATAAAGGCCTGATTGGTGAATTTCTACAGAGATGGTTGTCCTTCTGGAAGGTTCTCCCATCTCCACAGAGGAACTCTGGAGCTCTGTCAGAGTGACCATCGGGTTCTTGGTCACCTCCCTGACCAAGGCCCTTCTCCCCCGATTTCTCAGTTTGGCCGGGTGGCCAGCTCTAGGAAGAGTCTTGGTGGTTCCAAACTTCTTCCATTTAAGAGTGATGGAGGCCACTGTGTTCTTGGGGACCTTCAATGCTGCAGACATTGTTTGGTACCCTTCCACAGATCTGTGCCTCGACACAATCCTGTCTCGGAGCTCTACGGACAATTCCTTCGACCTCATGGCTTGGTTTCTGCTCTTTTTTAAAATGTATTTGTATTATTATTATTTTTTTAGTCATTTAGCAGATGCTCTTATCCAGAGCGACTTACAGTTAGTGAGTGCATACATTTTTCATACTGGCCCCCCGTGAGAAACGAACCCACAACCCTGGCGTTGCAAGCGCCATGCTTGTAGCCAACTGAGCTACATGCACTGTCAACTGTGGGACCTTATATAGACAGGTGTGTGTCTTTCCAAATCATGTCCAATCAATTGAATTTACCACAGGTGGACTCCAATCAAGTTGTAGAAACATCTAAAGGATGATCAGTGGAAACATGATGCACCTGATCTCTATTTAGAGTCTCACAGCAAATGGTCTGAATACTTATGTAAATAAGGTATATCTGTTAAATATTTTTAACACATTTGCAACATTTCTAAAAACTATTTTTTTTGTTTTGTCATTATGGGGTATTGTGTGTAGATTTGTATTTAATCAATTTTAGAATAAGGCTGTAACGTAACAAAATGTGGAAAAAGGTAAGGGGTCTGAATACTTTCCGAAGGCAAGTCTATCATCAGGGATGGGCCTATATACGTTTATGAGCAGGACTGGCACTACTTGGCAGGGCTGGCAATACTTGGCAGGGCTGTGCTAAGGCCATTCAGAGGATAGTCTCCATTATATTGTAAACCACACATCCTGATATTTAGAACCTTGGGTGATCTGACCTTTACACTCTTTCATTACTCTGGTCTGGAAATATCAAGTACTCCCTCCTGACCCCACTCAGCTACAGACTATCCCCACTCAGCTACAGACTATCCCCTCCTGACCCCACTCAGCTACAGACTATCCCCTCCTGACCCCGCTCAGCTACAGACTATCCCCTCCTGACCCCACTCAGCTACAGACTATCCCCTCCTGACCCCACTCAGCTACAGACTATCCCCTCCTGACCCCACTCAGCTACAAACTATCCCCACTCAGCTACAGACTATCCCCACTCAGCTACAGACTATCCCCACTCAGCTACAGACTATCCCCTCCTGACCCCACTCAGCTACAAACTATCCCTCCTGACCCCACTCAGCTACAGACTATCCCCACTCAGCTACAGACTATCCCCTCCTGACCCCACTCAGCTACAGACTATCCCCTCCTGACCCCACTCAGCTACAGACTATCCCCTCCTGACCCCACTCAGCTACAGACTATCCCCTCCTGACCCCACTCAGCTACAGACTATCCCCTCCTGACCCCACTCAGCTACAGACTATCCCCACTCAGCTACAGACTATCCCCTCCTGACCCCACTCAGCTACAAACTATCCCCTCCTGACCCCCGCTCAGCTACAGACTATCCCCACTCAGCTACAGACTATCCCCTCCTGACCCCACTCAGCTACAGACTATCCCCTCCTGACCCCCACTCAGCTACAGACTATCCCCTCCTGACCCCACTCAGCTACAGACTATCCCCTCCTGACCCCACTCAGCTACAGGACTATCCACTCCTGACCCCACTCAGCTACAGACTATCCCCTCCTGACCACCCGCTCAGCTACAGACTATCCCCTCCTGACCCCACTCAGCTACAGACTATCCCCACTCAGCTAGACTATCCCCTCCTGACCCCACTCAGCTACAGACTATCCCCTCCTGACCCCACTCAGCTACAGTCTATCCCCACTCAGCTACAGACTATCCCCTCCTGACCCCACTCAGCTACAGACTATCCCCACTCAGCTACAGACTATCCCCTCCTGACCCCACTCAGCTACAGACTATCCCCTCCTGACCCCACTCAGCTACAGACTAACCCCTCCTGACCCCACTCAGCTACAGACTATCCACTCCTGACCCCACTCACCTACAGACTATCCCCACTCAGCTACAGACTATCCCCTCCTGACCCCACTCAGCTACAGACTATCCCCACTCAGCTAGAGACTATCCCCACTCAGCTACAGACTATCCCCTCCTGACCCCACTCAGCTACAGACTATCCCCTCCTGACCCCACTCAGCTACAGACTATCCCCACTCAGCTACAGACTATCCCCTCCTGACCCCCACTCAGCTACAGACTATCCCCACTCAGCTACAGACTATCCCCACTCAGCTACAGACTATCCCCTCCTGACCCCGCTCAGCTACAGACTATCCCTCCTGACCCCACTCAGCTACAGACTATCCCCTCCTGACCCCACTCAGCTAAAGACTATCCCCTCCTGACCCAACTCAGCTACAGACTATCCCCACTCAGCTACAGACTATCCCCTCCTGACCCCACTCAGCTACAGACTATCCCCACTCAGCTACAGACTATCCCCTCCTGACCCCACTCAGCTACAGACTATCCCCACTCAGCTACAGACTATCCCCTCCTGACCCCACTCAGCTACAGACTATCCCCTCCTGACCCCACTCAGCTACAGTCTATCCCCACTCAGCTACAGACTATCCCCACTGAGCTACAGACTATCCCCACTCAGCTACAGACTATCCCCACTCAGCTACAGACTATCCCCTCCTGACCCCACTCAGCTACAGACTATCCCCACTCAGCTACAGACTATCCCCTCCTGACCCCACTCAGCTACAGACTATCCCCACTCAGCTACAGACTATCCCCTCCTGACCCCACTCAGCTACAGACTATCCCCACTCAGCTACAGACTATCCCCTCCTGACCCCGCTCAGCTACAGACTATCCCCTCCTGACCCCACTCAGCTACAGACTATCCCCTCCTGACCCCACTCAGCTACAGACTATACCCACTCAGCTACAGACTATCCCCACTCAGCTACAGGACTATCCACTCCTGACCCCATTTAGCTACAGACTATCCCCTCCTGACCCCGCTCAGCTACAGACTATCCACTCCTGACCCCGCTCAGCTACAGACTATCCACTCCTGACCCCACTCAGCTACAGACTATCCCCTCCTGACCCCACTCAGCTACAGACTATCCCCACTCAGCTACAGACTATCCCCACTCAGCTACAGACTATCCCCTCCTGACCCCGCTCAGCTACAGACTATCCCCTCCTGACCCCACTCAGCTACAGACTATCCCCTCCTGACCCCACTCGGCTACAGACTATCCCCTCCTGACCCCACTCAGCTACAGACTATCCCCACTCAGCTACAGACTACCCCCTCCTGACCCCACTCAGCTACAGACTATCCCCTCCTGACCCCGCTCAGCTACAGACTATCCCCTCCTGACCCCACTCAGCTACAGACTATCCCCACTCAGCTACAGACTATCCCCTCCTGACCCCACTCAGCTACAGACTATCCCCTCCTGACCCCACTCAGCTACAGACTAACCCCACTCAGCTACAGACTATCCCCACTCAGCTACAGACTATCCCCAATCAGCTACAGACTATCCCCTCCTGACCCCACTCAGCTACAGACTATCCCCTCCTGACCCCACTCAGCTACAGACTATCCCCTCCTGACCCCACTCAGCTACAGGACTATCCCCTCCTGACCCCACTCAGCTACAGACTATCCCCTCCTGACCCCACTCAGCTACAGTCTATCCCCACTCAGCTACAGACTATCCCCTCCTGACCCCACTCAGCTACAGACTATCCCCTCCTGACCCCACTCAGCTACAGACTATCCCCTCCTGACCCCACTCAGCTACAGACTATCCCCTCCTGACCCCACTCAGCTACAGGACTATCCCCTCCTGACCCCACTCAGCTACAGGAGTATCCCCTCCTGACCCCACTCAGCTACAGACTATCCCCACTCAGCTACAGACTATCCCCTCCTGACCCCACTCAGCTACAGACTATCCCCACTCAGCTACAGACTATCCCCTCCTGACCCCACTCAGCTACAGACTATCCCCTCCTGACCCCACTCAGCTACAGACTATCCCCACTCAGCTACAGACTATCCCCACTCAGCTACAGACTATCCCCACTCAGCTACAGACTATCCCCACTCAGCTACAGACTATCCCCACTCAGCTACAGACTATCCCCACTCAGCTACAGACTATCCCCACTCAGCTACAGACTATCCCCACTCAGCTACAGACTATCCCCTCCTGACCCCACTCAGCTACAGGACTATCCCCATCCTGACCCCACTCAGCTACAGACTATCCCCTCCTGACCCCACTCAGCTACAGACTATCCCCACTCAGCTACAGACTATCCCCTCCTGACCCCACTCAGCTACGACTATCCCCACTCAGCTACAGACTATCCCCTCCTGACCCCACTCAGCTACAGGACTATCCCCACTCAGCTACAGACTATCCCCACTCAGCTACAGACTATCCCCACTCAGCTACAGACTATCCCCTCCTGACCCCACTCAGCTACAGACTATCCCCTCCTGACCCCCACTCAGCTACAGACTATCCACTCCTGACCCCACTCAGCTACAGACTATCCCCTCCTGACCCCACTCAGCTACAGACTATCCCCTCCTGACCCCACTCAGCTACAGACTATCCCCTCCTGACCCCACTCAGCTACAGACTATCCCCTCCTGACCCCACTCAGCTACAGACTATCCCCTCCTGACCCCACTCAGCTACAGACTATCCCCACTCAGCTACAGACTATCCCCTCCTGACCCCACTCAGCTACAGACTATCCCCACTCAGCTACAGACTATCCCCTCCTGACCCCGCTCAGCTACAGGACTATCCCCTCCTGACCCCACTCAGCTACAGACTATCCCCTCCTGACCCCACTCAGCTACAGACTATCCCCAACTCAGCTACAGAATATCCCCTCCTGACCCCACTCAGCTACAGGACTATCCCCTCCTGACCCCACTCAGCTACAGACTATCCCCACTCAGCTACAGACTATCCCCTCCTGACCCCACTCAGCTACAGACTATCCCCTCCTGACCCCACTCAGCTACAGGACTATCCCCTCCTGACCCCCACTCAGCTACAGGACTATCCCCTCCTGACCCCACTCAGCTACAGGACTATCCCCTCCTGACCCCACTCAGCTACAGACTATCCCCACTCAGCTACAGACTATCCCCACTCAGCTACAGACTATCCCCTCCTGACCCCACTCAGCTACAGACTATCCCATCCTGACCCCGCTCAGCTACAGACTATCCCCTCCTGACCCCACTCAGCTACAGACTATCCCCACTCAGCTACAGACTATCCCCTCCTGACCCCACTCAGCTACAGACTATCCCCTCCTGACCCCACTCACCTACAGACTATCCCCACTCAGCTACAGACTATCCCCACTCAGCTACAGACTATCCCCACTCAGCTACAGACTATCCCCACTCAGCTACAGACTATCCCCTCCTGACCCCACTCAGCTACAGACTATCCCCTCATGACCTCCACTCAGCTACAGACTATCCCCTCCTGACCCCACTCAGCTACAGGACTATCCCCACTCAGCTACAGACTATCCCCTCCTGACCCCACTCAGCTACAGACTATCCCCACTCAGCTACAGACTATCCCCTCCTGACCCCACTCAGCTACAGACTATCCCCTCCTGACCCCCACTCAGCTACAGACTATCCCCACTCAGCTACAGACTATTCCCCTCCTGGACCCCACTCAGCTACAGACTATCCCCCAATCAGCTACAGACTATCCCCTCCTGACCCCACTCAGCTACAGACTATCCCCTCCTGACCCCACTCAGCTACAGACTATCCCCTCTGACCCACTCAGCTACAGGACTATCCCCACTCAGCTACAGACTATCCCCTCCTGACCCCACTCAGCTACAGGACTATCCCCTCCTGACCCCACTCAGCTACAGACTATCCCCACTCAGCTACAGACTATCCCCACTCAGCTACAGGACTATCCCCCACTCAGCTACAGACTATCCCCTCCTGACCCCACTCAGCTACAGACTATCCCACTCAGCTACAGACTATCCCCTCCTGACCCCACTCAGCTACAGACCAGGCACCCTCCTCCCGCCGGCTAGGACTATCACTCCTCCGCGGCTAGACTATCACCTCCTCCGCGGCTAGACTATCACCTTCCTCCCGCGGCTAGACTATCACCTCCTCCCGCGGGCTAGACTATCACCTCCTCACGCGGCTAGACTATCACCTCCCTCCCGCGGCTAGACTATACACCTCCTCCGCGGCTAGACTATCACTCCTCCCGCGGGCTAGACTATCACCTCCTCCCGCGGCTAGACTATCACCTCCTCCCGCGGCTAGACTATCACCACCTCCCGCGGCTAGACTATCACCTCCTCCCGCGGCTAGACTATCACCACCTCCCGCGGCTAGACTATCACCTCCTCCCGCGGCTTAGACTATCCCCTCACTCCCGCGGCTAGACTATCCCCTCCTCCCGCGGCTAGACTATCACCTCCTCCCGCGGCTAGACTATCACCACCTCCCGCGGCTAGACTATCACCTCCTCCCGCGGCTAGACTATCCCCTCCTCCCGCGGCTAGACTATCACCTCCTCACGCGGCTAGACTATCACCTCCTCCCGCGGCTAGACTATCACCTCCTCCCGCGGCTAGACTATCACCTCCTCCCGCGGCTAGACTATCACCTCCTCCCGCGGCTAGACTATCACCACCTCACTCAGATACAGAGTGCTGGTAGGTATTGAGTGTGGTCTTGGCTCTTACCAGAGGTAGCACTGGGCCCTAGGGATCATTTGTAACATCCCGGGTATTGAGTGTTGTCTTGGCTCTTACCAGAGGTAGCACTGGGCCCTAGGGAATAGGGTGCCTGGTATTCAGTGTTGTCTTGGCTCTTACCAGAGGTAACTCCCGAAGTAGGCCACTATGTTGTGGTGCATGCATTCCTTCACCATGAAGATCTCCTGCTGGATGATGGAGAAGTCGTCCCCTGGAAGCAGAGAGACAGAAACACAGCCAAATCAGATGTAGAAACACAGCCAAATCAGATGTAGAAACACAGCCAAATCAGATGTAGAAACACAGCCAAATCAGATGTAGAAACACAGCCAAATCAGATGTGGTCCTCTGTAGCTCAATTGGTAGAGCATGGCGCTTGTAACGCCAGGGTAGTGGGTTGGATCCCCGGGACCACCCATACGTAAACATGTATGCGCACATGACTAAGTCGCTTTGGATAAAAGCGTCTGCTAAATGGCATATTATTATTATTTTATGTAGAAACACAGCCAAATCAGATGTAGAAACACACACAGAGACGAGAGAAAGAGAGACAGACACACACACAGAGAGTCACACACAGAGAGTCACACGCACACACACACACACACACACAACAATATTCCCCTTTGAGTAACGATAGGACTTGACAGAACTACAGCAACTACTATCAGACCATCACGGTATCCTTCTAGACTTCATATTGCAACAGTGACTACTATCAGACCATCACGGTATCCTTCTAGACTTCATATTGCAACAGTGACTACTATCAGACCATCACGGTATCCTTCTAGACTTCATATTGCAACAGTGACTACTATCAGACCATCACGGTATCCTTCTAGACTTCATATTGCAACAGTGACTACTATCAGACCAACACGGTATCCTTCTAGACTTCATATTGCAACAGTGACTACTATCAGACCATCACGGTATACTTCTAGACTTCATATTGCAACAGTGACTACTATCAGACCATCACGGTATCCTTCTAGACTTCATATTGCAACAGTGACTACTATCAGACCATCACGGTATACTTCTAGACTTCATATTGCAACAGTGACTACTATCAGACCATCACGGTATACTTCTAGACTTCATATTGCAACAGTGACTACTATCAGACCATGACGGTATACTTCTAGACTTCATATTGCAACAGTGACTACTATCAGACCATCACGGTATACTTCTAGACTTCATATTGCAACAGTGACTACTATCAGACCATCACGGTACACTTCTAGACTTCATATTGCAACAGTGACTACTATCAGACCATCACGGTATCCTTCTAGACTTCATATTGCAACAGTGACTACTATCAGACCATCACGGTATCCTTCTAGACTTCATATTGCAACAGTGACTACTATCAGACCATCACGGTATACTTCTAGACTTCATATTGCAACAGTGACTACTATCAGACCAACACGGTATCCTTCTAGACTTCATATTGCAACAGTGACTACTATCAGACCATCACGGTATACTTCTAGACTTCATATTGCAACAGTGACTACTATCAGACCATCACGGTACACTTCTAGACTTCATATTGCAACAGTGACTACTATCAGACCATCACGGTACACTTCTAGACTTCATATTGCAACAGTGACTACTATCAGACCATCACGGTATACTTCTAGACTTCATATTGCAACAGTGACTACTATCAGACCATCACGGTATACTTCTAGACTTCATATTGCAACAGTGACTACTATCAGACCAACACGGTATCCTTCTAGACTTCATATTGCAACAGTGACTACTATCAGACCATCACGGTATCCTTCTAGACTTCATATTGCAACAGTGACTACTATCAGACCATCACGGTACACTTCTAGACTTCATATTGCAACAGCAACTACTATCAGACCATCACGGTATACTTCTAGACTTCATATTGCAACAGTGACTACTATCACACCATCACGGTATACTTCTAGACTTCATATTTAGTGCAGGAAAAGTTAAACACGTTGGACTGGACAATCACAATATTTTACTTATCACTAAATCTTTCCGCTTGCTTTGCCATGCTCCAAACCACGGAGGATTTTACTCCACCATTTCAATATGGCCGGATGAATTAATACTTCTACAGTTTATATCATACCACAGCCACGCTGCATATGAACAAAATGAACTAAACGGTGTCCTATAAACTATTACGTCGTACGGGGTTCAGGTAGGTGGTATCTAGTGTAGACGGTCTGTGATTCGCTTGAATTCCTATTAAAGTACACACGCAGAGTGTTCAGCTAGCTACTAGCCGCTGTCGCTACCATAGCACCACCACTACCACCACTGTAACATCTAGACCAGGGTTGCCCAACCCTGTTCCTGGAGAGCTGCCCTCCTGTAGGTTTTTCGCCTCCAACCCCAGGTGTTACTAACCTGATTCATTTTATCAACCTGCTAAATTATTAGAATCAGGTGTGCTAGATTAGGGTTGGAGCAAAAACCTACAGGAGGGTAGCTCTCCAGGAACAGGGTTGGGCAGTCCTGGCTTAGATTGTTGACAACATGTAACCTATATTTAGTCTCCAATGTTTATTGAAAACAGAAATAAATGTGCAGAATGAGCACTCTAATACATCGCTACAGTTGTTGGTTAGCTAGCTAGCGAGTTTCAGCCATATTAGCATTGACGTGACATCAGTCAAAACACCTCAAAACAAGACATGGGATCAAGAACACAGGATAAAACTAGCTGAAACGAGCCGCCTGCGATTCCCCACATGGCAGCTTCTTGCTATTGTTGCTAGCTATCTGGCGTGTGCCATCGTTTTCGTAAAATGAATCAGGTTAGTAACACCTGGGGTTGGAGCAAAAACCTACAGGACGGTAGCTCTCCAGGAACAGGGTTGGGCAACCCTGGTCTAGACTGTGTATCGGTTGAGTTCTGTTGGACTTCATGCATCCCTTTCGGTATGAGGATGTAGGAGTCTAAAACTATGCACTGCAGCGACGCCATCTGCTCTCAATTCAGCAGCCAGTGAGACAGAGAGTGAGACAGAGGTTGCATCTCAACTGGCACCTCTATTCCCTATGTAGTGCACTACTTTTGGCCAGGTCCCATCGAGCTCTGGTCAAAAGTAGTGCACCATATAGGGAATAGGGTGGCATTTGTGACATAGCCAGAGACAGACCCAGGAAGGAGACAAAGAGAACGGGCCCTGGAACACATGACACAGGAGTCGCTGGATATCAAATCAGGAGCTAGCTGCTTCCTCCTCACACTGCTAGGAGAGGAGCGTCAGCTGCAGCTCAAAAGCCATAGCATCTCATGCTCTCCATCTGTGTGTGTTTACTCTGCTAGGAGAGGACCGCCAGAGCTCTGGCTTCTAGACTAGAGAGCTGGGAGCACATCATCATGTACCAGGATTGGTTTTTTAAACATGGTGATGCTGCTGAGTGAAGCGTTACACCTGTACCTGCCATCTGCTGCAATCTAGAGCAAAACATTTAGAAAAAAATATCATAAGGTGGCAAAACGCATCTCACATTACTTTATATATATATATATTATTTAGTATTTTTTCTTTACGTATATAGATTTATTTTTTTGTCATTTAGCAGACGCTTCTTATCCAGAGCGACTTACAGGAGCAATTAGGGTTAAGTGCCTTGCTCAAGGGCATATCGACAGATTTTTCACCTAGTCGGCTCGGGGATTAGAACCAGCGACCGTTCGGTTACTAGCACAATACTCTTAACCACTAAGCTCCCTGCCAACAATGCAATGTAAGATGGAATAAAATTACGGAATTAAACGTTAGTGAAATGGAGAAGGAGTAGGCTACAAGGAGCAATGAACAGGTAGGCTGTTTTTATCTGAATGGGGTTGGGAAGAAAACGCTAAATGTGGCCTCAAATTAGCCTAGCTAGCTATAGCTGTCTAGGTTCTCTAGGTTCCTCCAGTCAAGACAGGCACTGTTCTATGGGATGATAAATACACTGAACAAAAATATAAATGCAACAATTTCAAAACTGTTACTGAGTTACAGTTCATATAAGGAAATCTGTCAATTGAAATAAATTGATTAGGGCCTCCCGTGTGGCGCAACGTTCTAAGGCACTGCATCGCAGCGCTTGAGGCGTCACTACAGACCCGGGTTCGATCCCAGGCTGTGTCACAACCGGCCGTGACCGGGAGTCCCATAGGGCGGCGCACAATTGGCCCAGCGTCGTCTGGGTTAGGGGAGGGTTTGGCCGGGGTGGCTTTACTTGGCTCATCGCGCTCTAGCGACTCCTTGTGGCGGGCCGGGCGGCCTGCAGGCTGACTTCGGTCGTCCGTTGAACGGTGTTTCCTCCGACACATTGGTGCAGCTGGCTTCGGGGTTAAGCAGGCGGGTGTTATGAAGCGCGGTTTGGCGGGTCATGTTTCACCTTCGCCTCTACCGAGCCCAGTGGGGAATAGCAGCGATGAGACAAGATCGAAATTGGGGAGAAAAAGGGGGTAAAATTCCCCCCAAAATAATACAAAAAATATATATACAAAAAATAAAATCTATGGATTTTACGACTGTGAATACAGAAACTGATATTTTGGTCACCAAAAAAAGTTAGGGGCGTGGATCAGAAAACCAGTCAGCATCTGGTGAGACCACCATTTGCCTCATGCAGCGCGACACATCTCCTTCGCAAAGAGTTGATCAGGCTGTTGATTGTGGCCCTCTTCAATGGCTTCAAGTTTGTGGATATCGTTGAGAACTGGGAACACGCTCTAATACACGTCAATCCAGAGTAGGGCTGTCCCCGGCAAAAAAAAAAATCTTGGTCGACCAAGAGTCCTCTGTTCTTTCGACCAATCGATTGGTTGACATTTTATAAAACATTGTATTGTTCCATATATTGACACATCCTATGTATTTTTTAATCAAATCAACTATATTCACTGAGCTTCTCTGATGCTTTAAGCACACTGTTTGATTAAATAATTAAGACAAGAAACAAATGACTAGAGGGAGTCTGACCAGCAATTGAATTGATTGTGCCTGTCTCAGACTTGCTGCGCTTAGTAGAAAATAAATAAAAAGACAGCGAGTGACTGTGACTAGCACCCATTGTCTCTTTCTCTCTCCTCCCTGCTGCAGCGACCACCACAGAACATCAACAGTGTTTATCACGCTGTCTGTGTTGCTAAAGCTGCAACATACAGTGCCTTCGGAAAGTATTCAGACCCCTTGACTTTGTCCACATTTTGGTACGTTACAGCCTTATTCTAAAATGGATTAAATTACACATTTTTCTCAGCGATCTACACACAATACCCCATAATGAGAAAGCGAAAACATGTTTTTAGATTTTTTTTTCAAATGTGTTAAAAATACAAAACAGAAATATCTTATTTACGTAAGTATTCAGCCCCTGTGCTATGAGACTCGAAATTGAGCTCAGGTAAATCCTGTTTCCATTGATCATCCTTGAGATGTTTCTACAACTTGATTGGAGTCCACCTGTGGTAAATTCAATTGATTGGACATGATTTGGAAAGACACACACCTGTCTATATAAGGTCCCACAGTTGACAGTGCATGTAGCTCAGTTGGCTACAAGCATGGCGCTTGCAACGCCAGGGTTGTGGGTTCGTTTCTCACGGGGGGCCAGTATGAAAAATGTATGCTTGTGGAAGGCTACCCAAAACGTTTGACCCAAGTTAAACAATTTAAAGGCAATGCTACCAAATACTAATTGAGTGTATGTAAACTTCTGATCCACTGGGAATGTGATGAAAGAAATAAAAGCTGAAATAAATCATTCTCTCTACTATTATTCTGACATTTCACATTCTTAAAATAAAGTGGTGATCCTAACTGATCTAAGACAGGGAATGTTTACTAGGATTAAATGTCAGGAATTGTGAAAAACTGAGTTGAAATGTATTTGGCTAAGGTGTATGTAAACTTCCGACTTCAACTGTACATTACCCGACCTCCCCCAGTAAAACTAATCCCGTCCCAATAGGGCACAATAAGGCCTGTCATATAGCATCATAATCACATCAATAAATTGGTTATAACAAACTCTGAACACCGTAACACGTGACAGCAAAATGGATGCAGAGGACGTGACAAAAACTCGAAACGGAGGAATGTTTACTGGTTGCTCAGGAGGTAAAGGGGAATGTTTACTGGTTGCTCAGGAGGTAAAGGGGGAAAGGGGGTGTGGAAAAATTTGGTGGTTTTTTTTAATTGGGACATTCCGGGTTTCAGAAGAGGACCAAAATTTAATAAAGTTTGAAAAAACCCACTATTTCTAGACCAAACCTCCTAATGCTAGACCAAGTTACTAATGCTAGACCAAGCCTCCTAATGCTTTGACCAAGTTACTAAGCTTTGGGGGAAAACCTTTTCCTTTAAAGCTAGGGCCAAAACCTAAAAATTTCAGACCAAAACCTCCTAATGCAGACCCAGCCTCCTAATTTTCTAGACCCAAAAACCCAAACCTCCCAATGCTAGGGCCCCAAAAACCCAAACCCCCCCTAATGGTAGACCAAGGGTTAAAGATAGAAAAAAGCCTACTAATGTTTGACCAAACCCAATAATGTAGACCAAGCCTCCTTTAAAGCTAGACCAAAAAAAAAAAAACAAAAAAAAAAAAAAAAAACAAAAACAAGGGGGGGGGGGGGACCCCCCCCCCCCCATTTAAGATAGAAAAACCCTTAAAAGATAAGGGAAAACCCAGAAACCAATCCATTTTGGGGTAGAAAAAAAGCCCTTTTAAAGAAATCAAGCTAAGGGGAAAAAAAAATTTAAAATTAAAAGGGCCAAAAAAATTTAATGCAGAAAAATCCTAATTTCTAGAAAAAAAACCAAGTTAAAGTAGGAAAAAAGCCCCCTAATGCTAGACCAAGCCTAAAGGGTAGAAAAAGGGCCTTTAAAAATGATTTTGAAAAAGCCTCCTAATGCTAGACCAAAAAAAAACCCCTAAGAGACCAAAACCTTCCTAAGGTTTTAAACCAAAACCTTAAAAGTAGACCAAGCCTTTTCCCAGCTAGAAAGCCTTAAGGTAGAAAAAAAAAGATCCTAAAAGGAAAAACCCAAAAAAAAAAATACAATCAAAAGAAAAAGTTAATGTTTGACCCAAAAAAAAACCCCCAAAAGAAATTTGAAACCCAAACCCCAATGATAGGGCCAAACCTCCTTTGGGTGGGCCCAAACCTCCCCAATGCTAGGGCCAAGCCTCCTAATGCTAGACCAAATCCTAAGCTAGACCAAGCCCCTAATGCTAGAACCCAAACCTCCCCAATGCTAGGAAAAAGCCTTAAAAACTTTTGAACCCAAACCTTAATGCCCCGGGCCAAAAAAAGCCCCTAATGCAGGGCCCCCCCCTCCCAAAAGCTAGACCAAGCCTCCTAATGCAGACCAACCCTCCAATGTAGAAAAAACCAAGCCTCCTAAGTAGCCCAAAACCCTTTCCTAATGCAAACCAAGCCCCCAAAGGGTAGCCCAAAGCCTTAATGATAGACCAAGCCCCCTAAGTAACCAAACAAGCCTCCAACTTAGCCCAAACCCCCTAATGTAGACAACCCTTCTATGCTAGACCAAGCCCCCTAAGATAGCCCAACCTCCTAAGATAGACCAACCCTTCCTAATGCTGCCCAAAGCCCCTAAGCAAACCCAAAGCCCCTAATGTAGACCACCCCATCCCTAATGTAGACCACCTCTAATGTAGACCAAGCCTATGAAGACCAACCTACTAATGTAGCCAAGCCCCCAAATGCAAAACCAAGTCCTAATGCTAGACAAGCCTCCCAAATGTAGCCAAGCCTCCAATGTAGCCCCCCAAGTGCCAGCCCTATAATGCTAGACCAAGCCTCCTAATCAAAACCAAAGCCTCCTAATGCTAGACCAAGCCCTAAACCAAGCCCTTCTAATTAAAACCAACCCCCTCCTATCCCTAGACCAAAGCCTCCTAATGTAACCAAGCCTCCTAATGCTAGACAGCCTCTAATGCTAGCCCCAAGCCCTTATACTCTAGAAAAACCCCAAGCCCCCTCCTAATGCTAGACCAAAGCCTCCTAATGCTAGCCAAGCCTCCTAATGATAGAACAAGCCTCCAAGGGCCCCAGACCAAGCCTCATAATGCTAGACCAAGCCCCTAATGCTAGACCAAACCAAAGCCTCCCCCTAATGCTAGCCCCAAGCCTCCAAATAAAAACCACTCCTAATGCTAGACCAAGCCCCCTAATTATAGACCAAGGCCTCCTAATGTAGACCAAGCCTCCTAATGCTAAGACCCAAAACCAAGCCTCCTAATGCTAACCAACCTCCTAATGCTAGACCAACCTCCTAAGTAGACCAAGCCTCCTAATGCTAGACCAAGCCTCCTAATGCTAGACCAAGCCTCCTAATGCTAGACCAACCCTCCTAATGCTAGACCAAGCCTCCTAATGCTAGACCAAGCCCCTAATGTAGACCAAGCCTCCTAATGCTGGG